ATTAGCAGGAAGGGACATAGAAGCAGCCATCATAAATATGTTCCATATGTCAGGGATGTAAAGGAAAACACAGGCATAATGTTGAAGCCAGTAGGATATTAAAAGTGACTTCTCTACCAGTAAAGAGTATCTGAGGTCAGTGATGCATGTGGTAAGATTAATGGCAAGCTAGACACTGCAGAAGGAAGGATCAGTAAACTGGAAGACACAGCGTGGATATCACCTAAATGAGGCTCCGAGAACAGACTAAATGAGGTTGGAGGGGAAGCGGGAAAGTTGGTTCAATTATTTGCAGATTAGCTTGATCTTTTCATTTCTTTTTTGCACTCAGGAGGCTGAGGCAGGAAGATTGTGAATTTGAGACCCACCTGGGCTACAAAGTGAGCTCAAGGCCAGCCTGAGCTACATAGCAAGACCCTGTCTCAAAAAAAAAAAAAAAACTTCATGCCAATAAAATTTACAACCTCGATGAAACAGGCAAATCCCAAGAGGAAACAATTTGCATAACTATATGTAAATCAAAGAAACTGATTTATGTATGTATGTTTGGAGACAGGGTCTCACCATGTAGTCCAGGCTGGCCTTGAACTCACTTTGTAGCTGAGCCTGGTTGAAAACTCACAGTGATATTCCTGCCTCAGCCTCTCTGGTGCTGTCATCACAGGTGTGTGCCACAACACCCAGCCTAAATTTATACTTTAAAAGTATCTCACAAAGAAAATCCCAGGCTTGGATGGCTTCACTGTATTTCATAAATACAAAGTATTTATGAAAGAAAAAATACCTAGTGCTCCACCAGCTCTTTCAGAAAATGGTAGGAATGTGCTTCAGGCATTTCTTGGAGGACACTCCAAAAATCAGTCAAAGACATCAGAGGAGAATTAGAGACCCACATCCCACATGAACATAGTCACAATGTTCTTTGATAAATTTTAGCACATCAAATCCAACAATATACAGAAAAGGCAATGGATCATAACAAAAGGCTGCGTGTCCCGAGAACACAAAACTGGTCTAATATTCACACTCAGCAGATGTAGTTCATCAGGTGGACAGAACGCAGGGGGAAAACCGCACGGTCATCTCAAAGGATGTTGGAAATGTGTTTGACAAAATTCAACACCCAATTATGATATCCGAGCAATGAGGAACTCTCAGCAAGCGAGGAACAGAAGTGAATTTCTTTGACTTCAGGCTTATGCAGCTAGCTTCAAACTCAGTGGAGAAAAGCTCAATGTTTTCCACCTAGGAAATAAAATGTCCATTCTCATCACTTTTTTATTTTTTACAACATATGACTGGTATTTCTGGCTTGTACAGTAAGGCAAGAAAAAGAAATACAAGGGATAAACATCTGAAGGGAAGAAGTAAGCTGCCTTTATTTTAAGATTATCTGATCACATATGTAGAAAATAAAAAGGAGTCTTTGAAGTAGCTACCAGAAACAGTGAATGAATGTGTCCAGTTTGAAGAGTCCAGGCCCAACTGTGTATCTATGGACCAGCAATAAACATCAGAAAATTTAATACTCCATTTACATAGCATAAAAATAAAATGATTGAGTCAGCAAACTTAACATAAATGTGGAAGACTTGAACTCTGAAAACTATAAAATACTGCAGACGGAAGTTAAATAAAACCCAATAAATGCTGAGGTATACTATGTTCATAGATTAGAAAACTTGATCATGACATGGTTACCTTCTTCTAGGCGATCTCTTGTTTTAGCGGAACACTGATAAAAATCCTAGCAGACTTTCTGAAGAAATTGGCAATCTGCTCCTAACATTTGTATGGAAAGGAAAAAAGTCTCAGAATTAAAAAAAAAAGACAGTGCCAGGCATGGTGGCACATACCTATAATCCCAGCACACTAGAGGCTGAGGCAGGAGGATTGCTACAATTTCAAGGCTAGCCTGGGCTACAGAGTGAGTTCAAGGCCAGCCTGAAGGACAGCAAGACCCTGTCTCAAAAAGCCGAAGAAACAAAACAAAAAACCAGGAATAAGGTTGGAGGACTTATGCTACCAAATTTCAAGATACCATAAAGCTACACTAATCACGTCAGTGTTCTTGCTGTGAAGATATCCAGTGAAAGCAATGAAACAAAATAGAGTCCAGAAACTGACCCATACTCAGATGATCAATTGATTTTTGACAAGGATGCTAGGGTAATTTAACAGAGAGAAGATAGTTTTTAAATAAATGGCACAGGAAGAGTTAAAGCATCAGTGTAAAAAGTTTAGAAGTATAAAATAAAAAATTAAAAGTCTGAAGTCTGACTTTTAATCACAGCCAACACAAAATGAACTCAAAATAGAGCAAGGGTCTAACTATGCACTCTAAGAAATGTTTTCAGAGAAATAAAAACAGAAAGCATCTAGCACCCAGAGACCTTATTTGTAGAAGTTCTCCAGCAGAAGGAAATGATGAAGGTAGAAACTTTCATCTGTACAACAAAATGAAGAGCATCAGACATGGAAATAGATGGATGAATATAAAATATTCTTGGGCCGGGGATGTAGCTCAGCAGCACAGCACCTGCCTGGCAAGTGCAAGGTCCTGAGTTTAATTCCGAGTACCACAAACAAAAAAATTCTTTTTTTTTTTGGTTTTTCTCCAGTACCGGGAACTGAACTCACGACCTTGCGCTTGCCAGGCAGGCGCTTTTGCCGCTGAGCTAAATCCCCAGCCCCCAAATTCTAATTTTTAATCTCTAAAAAAATAATGTTTAAGGAAAGCAAAAATAATAGAGATGTTTTCTAGATTTTGTTTGTTTTGGTGCTAGGCATGGAACCCAAGACCTTGAACATGCTAAGCACATGTCCTTCTGAGCTACACCCCCAGGCTACAGCATTTCACGGAAGGTAAAAGCACAAAATGAAATGTATGTCCTAGCTGAGTATGGTAGGTAGCCTGTCATCTCAGCACTTAGGAGGCTGAAGCAGGATTGTTGTGAGTTCAAGGTCAGCCTGAACTATAACAGCATGACCCTGTCACCAAAAAAAAAGTGCTTAAGGTTGTACTGTTGTAAGGTTCTTATGTTACATTTCAGGTAACACAATATTCATTGAAGGTAGGCTAGGGGAAGCTAAAGGTGTGTGTCATAAACCCTACAGAAGCCACAAAAAAGGCAAAAATAACCACAGCTAATAAGCCAGGTACTAACAATAGTCAATGAAATCCAATGGAAGGCAAAAAAAAAAAAATTCAGAATGTGGAAGAAATTAAATCTAGAAATGGGAAAAAATAAGTTAGGAAGTATTAAAGTGGTAGAATATTATGTAGCTGTTGAAAATGTTTATGCAGATATATTTTTAATGGTGTAGCTAAGCATTTATGATATGTTAAATTTTTAAACCAGGGTGCAGAGTACATTAAGTAAAAGTATGTGAAATACAGAATATATGTTTATATATTATAAAATATAAAATGTCGGGGCTGAGGATGTAACTCAGTGGTATGTCTCTAGCGTGTATGAGGACTTGGGTTCAACCCCACAAAAAAGTGTTTTATCAATAACTCTAAAAAAATGTTAAGCAGAGAGAAAGATAACTGAAAAGAAACTTACCAAACATAAGCAGTATTTGTAATTGGGTAGTAAAATGATGGGCAAATTATTTCTAGGTTTTATTGTTTTGTTCAGACAAGGTCTCACTATGTAGCCCAGGCTGGCCTCAAACTCGTGGCCATCTTCCTGCCTCAGCCTCCTGAGTGCTGGGATTACAGGAGTGTGTCACCAAGACCAGCTGATTGTTTTTAAGTAGGATGCATCTTATCACCATGGTTAAAGACACAAACACACAAAATTTGGGGGTCAGCCTGGCCAGTGCTCTGTTGCTTGTCAGCTGAGTGGCCTCTGGCAAGTCAATCTGTCTGTAGTACAGTTGCCTGCTCAGTGAGATGATGTGAAGAAAGTATGGGGGAAAGTGTTTGACATACTCAGGGAGTCATTCATTATTACCATAGGCATTGTAAACAGAGGAGCAGAAACTTTAGAAGCAGAACTTCTTTTAAAGGCAACCCCAGTGGATGAAGGCCCTGGTGGGAGCCCGCCAAATTCAGTTTCCAACTCCAAACCAGGTGAGCCCAGAGCAACCGGTGCTCGAGTCTCCCTAGTGAGATGCTTTCGGGTGCGAGGGTAGAATCTCTCTACCAAACCTGTTATGAGAACACCACGTGTCTCAGCGGTTCCAGGACAAGCTGTACCACTGGCTTCTGAGGTACCAGGATTGGCAGGACTGAACACACGACTCTCTTCCCACCCTTCCCAGGCTCCTGGCATCCATGATGCTTGATTGACTTGTCTTCACTTCTGGCCAGAGGTTGAGACCTGGTTTCTGGGAGTGAGGTTCTCATTGGCCTAGCTCAGATCACGTGTCCATCCATGGCCCAATCAGATTTGACTGATTGAGGGGGCAGGGCCACAGTGCAAACATGGCTGCTCTGGGCTCTGGCCTGTGGACTTGCTATGTAGAAATCGCATCTGCTGGGCCTCACAGAACACATGATAGATTCTGTGCCTGCTCTTCTCTTTGCCCAGGATTCTCTTACTGGAGGCTCTCCATCCCCCACAATTTAGGCAGCTTTAAGCCACTCTCATGCCACTTAGCTGTGACACTCAAGTGTGACAGTGCTGGTCCTAGGCACCATATCCAGGAGCCCCTGTGGGCCGTGGGGAAAGGCCCTCCCCAGAGAAATGGCTACAGGCGCTACATTCTCCCAAGCATGTCACCTGACTTCCCTTCTCCGGCACATGTCACATAGCCACTGTTGGCGACAAAATCCCAGGCTGCTGGGCTAGGGTTTGCCCAAGGTGGGCACTTGTGGATTCTGAGCTTTTGCTGGCAGAGAGCGCAGATTCTCCCAGAGGAATGGCTTCTTGGGCACAGGGTGGCCTTCGGCAGCACTTTAACCAGAAAGCACAAAGGTTGGGCTAAGAAAAACACAAATGCGCACACAGACACACACCCCTTCCTCTGGAGACATCCAGAAACAAAAGACTAATGTACCTTTTTTTAATTGTCATTGTGGAGCTCCCCACTGTGGCCACCCCCACCTTCCAATGACCACTTTTGCAGGCTGGGGCGGGGCGGGGCGGGGGGATGACTAGGGAACAAAGCTGGGGCCCGGCAGCCCCACTAGGCTGCCAGGCAGCGGGGAGAACAAGTCACAATTACAAACGATCACAACAATTAGTGCCTGTTCTGGGGAGCTCTGCAGCGTGAGGAGGCCGAGGCGCCCCTTTGTCAGGCGGTCTGTTTGGCGGTGACCTTGCTCTGGAGCCGATGATACTCCTTCAGCCTGGAAACCAGATTCAAAACAAAGAAAAATGTAAATTAACAATAACAACATGCTCTCCGCTCAGTGAATTCAGGCAGGATGGGGTGGTGGGGGCAGCTGTTTGCTAAGACGTGTGCGAAGTTCTCCCTTTCTTCTAGCCCCTCTCCCATCCCTGCCCCTCCTGCCCTCCAATCAGGATAACGTAATTAATTTATCTTCGGGGGAAAACATTGTTCGTCGTTGTTGAAGACAAAGCGTCCGACTAGCAATGGGGGCCCTGAAGAAGCCATTATGAAACGCCGGTGTGTTCAGGCCGTTTGAAAGGGTTTACAGAGTCATAAAACACACACGGGGGAGAGGCGGGGCGGGAGGTGATGCGGAGCGGGCAGCCCAGCGTCCGAGGTGGCTCCAGGAAAACAGACGGGCTCCGGGAGGAGAGATGCAGCTCCGGCAAGGAGGGCGACAGGGCTGACAAACGCAGAGCAGGACAGGAAGGACTTTTCCACTCAGCACCCGGGCCTCCTAGCTGTGTGACCTCGGGCGGGTTATGTCATCGCTCTGGGTGCATTTCCAGGGAGTTGCACATTCGGCAAGAATTAAATCAGGCGACCTAGGAGTGTGCCTGGGAGCCGTTTAGTCTGCGGCAGCTGCTGGTAACGAACGACCTTGCTCGCCCTTGAGCACTCCAGCCCGCCCTGAGAGCACCTGCAGCTGGCCAGCGCGCTCCTCCCATGAGCCAGGCTCGGGACACGTGCTGGGTTCCCACGGCTCCCGTGGGGCTTGTGCTGCACCTGGGAGGCAGGTGCGGTGAACACCCGCCCTCATGGCTCCTGTGGTGGGGAAGGGGCCTGAGGTCCTCTCGCGGAGCCAGGGTCCAAGTAGGTCTGTGACTTCAGACAACGCGTGTCACTTGGGCTGTGGACATCCTCGTGGCCTGGACGGTGCCCAGCTAGACCTCCAGCTCGGGGACAGCGGCATGGAGGCCATTTCCTTGTCTAAGCTGCCCCACAGAGGGGCGAGCAGAGGCCCTGCGGCTGGAGGGGCTGGGCCCGAGTGTCGGGCACGGGCGGTGTCAGGGCTTCTCACCTGAGGGAGTTGATGTTGATGAAACCCGTAGCATCGATGGGCTCGTAATCTCCCTGCACGTTCATGCTGCAGGAGGAGAGCAGAAGCTATTGGCTCAGCCAGGAGGGAGGGAGCCCTGGGCCGGGACAGCGCCCATGGAAACCTGGGCACCTCCCACGTGGCTCCAAGCCCCCGGCCGTACTGCGGCTGTCCGTTCCACTGCTGTCCCATTCTGGGAACTCTGTTCGGGGCCAGGCACCCTGCCAGCGTGGAGGGACCCAGCAGCGCACCAGCAGCCTCGGCCTGGGTTCCGGCTTGCCAGCAGGAGCCCTACAAAACCCTCCTGCGAGCCGCAGAGTGCCACCTGTAAACTGAGGACAGACCCTGAGCTGGCTCTGTCCTCAGGGCCGTGGTGGGCTCAGAGGGAAGCTCTGGGAAGAGCTGGTGACATCCCGTGGCTAGAAGGGGCACAGATTAGGAGCTGACGGCATCGCTTAAGTTGCAGGGCGGCCGCCGGCATTAACAGCAGGACCAGCCCACTGAGTTCTGTCTCCCTGCCTGGGAGCAGTGGGACCCCTCTACCCTTCCATCCCCCAGATCCCAGGGCCTGTGGGTCTTGTGCTTGTCTCTTAGGTGTCCTCCCCGGGCCTCCCCAGCCACAGCGCTCTGTCAGTCTGCAGAGTGGGTCTGCAAGCCAGCTCTGCCACGGTGCTTCTGCAGAGCCCAGGGCAAGTGTGCCGTTTGCCCTGGGATGGCATCTGCTCTCAGCACTGTGAAATCATGTAGCCACGGATGAATGTGTGGCAGCATCACAATGCTGACCTCGTGTATCCACTCATTCACTCGCTCATTCATTTATTTAGGCATTTATTAAGTACTCATGATTGGCCAGGCCAGGCTATGCCTGCTGCAGAGGAAGCAAGAACAGGTAAGAAAGGCGCCTGCTGCCAGACAGACATAAGCAATCAATTACCCACTGCCTTTGTTAATTAAAGCACTCAAGGCACCTCGGTCTCAGAGGCCCCTACTCTTGAGCCTCTGAGAGCGAAGGAGTCCCTCACCACATCTTGCATGAATCATCTCCACGTTTGCAGATCGCCAGGCTCAGAGCAAAGCAGTCTCAAGGTTCTGGGTGACCAGGAGATGGCCTGTCCCCTGGAGAACCCCTCCAGCGATGAGGTTAGGGAGGAGGACAGGGAGCAAGTCCACCACCTCGTGTGACTCTGAGGCTGTGCCTCTCTCTGACTTGTTCCTGGAGGGCTGTGGACTTCTTGCAAGAATAAATGGGGTCTCTGCCTCTGCCCTGCCTGGCTTGGTGACTTGTCCAGGATTTGGGCTCTGCCTCCAACACCGTTCCCTGGGCCTGATCTTGAAGCTGGTGCATGGAACTCTCTGGAAGTCAAATCCATGCTGTCCCCTTGATTCTTCTCATTCCCAGTTCCATCTCGGGGGTTGCCTCCAGGGCTCAGGTGCTGGGGCCACCCAGAGCCAGCTGGACCAGCGCACTCCTTACAGGGAAAAAAGATGCCAGATTTCCTCCTGGCCACCAACCTCAATCCCTTTAACACGCCTTGCTTGGGCCATGGGGCGGAACACACATGTCTCAATGCGACATTCACCCCAGGCACAAACCGTCCCCCAGGCTCTGGAGACCTAGTCCCGCCCTGTCAGAGTCTCCCACCACCCTGACAGGCTCCCTCTGCTCAGCCCCTGGAGGAAGCAGGCGGCTGAGTCCTGTCCCTCTCCTTGTCCAAAATGCACATTTGCCCTTTCACTTTCCTCTCTCCCAAGCCGGAACAAACTCCCATCCCGGTCCCCAAGGCAGGGCCCTTCCAGGCCCTGCAGAGGGGTGCCCCAGGGCATAGACTTGTCCCGCAAGGCTGCAGACAGTTCCAAGGGGTGTTTCTCAGGAAGGAAAAACCTTTTTAAAATTGTGGTTTGGGGTAGGGAGGGGAGGTGGAGAAAGAGTTTACAATGATTTTTTTTTTTTTTTTACCTCCCCTGACGGTCTACAGAAAACCTCTGTGCTTTTATTTTTGCTCATTCGAGTGGCTCTGACCTGCTCTATAATTACGTTACTTTCTACCTACTGTGCCGCGGCATTTCCAGCTCTGCTACCTCTCGCGGCTTCCTCGCTGGTCCCTGTGACGCTGTCACTCAAGGGCTTTCAAGTCAGCGATGTAGAAATCAAAAAGAAAAGGGAAATGGTCGGAGACACAGTGAGAATAAATGCTTCTGCTTTTTTCTCTTTTTTCCCCCTTTCCCTTTTTACTTTATTCATTTAATCTCCCTGAGTGCGACTGTAAGGCTTAATGAAGGGTTGGACAGATTATTAGAGGCTGCTGATTGGGAGGGGGAGGGAAGAAAGAGCCAGAGAGAGAAAGAGAGAAGATAATTTGACATTTACCCCGACTGATCTAAACTGATTCGGTTATATTTATGGCTTATAAAGTGTTTAGAAAGATTGAAGGGGGGTGCAACTCAACAAGGCAAAGAGAAGGGAGAGAAAAAAATAATATTGACTGCCAAACAAAACTCGTACTCTAATTCCCAACTGGCCTCTGGGAGGGGACAGCCGGCCTCAGCCTGAGCTAGGCTGGGGCTGTGGCTGGGGCCCACTCGCGGGGGCGGGGGGCTGCCTGTGCCCCAGGAGTCTGCGCCACCCCTCATGTGGCCAGGTGGTTGTCAAAGGAGACACCTGGCCCTCTGGTGAAGCCACCCTGGTTACGACGCAAACTCAGTGTGGATGATGGCCAGCCTTCTGCTGACCTGGCCCCCTGCTCCGCAGCCGCTTTCCACCAGGACCTTCGAGAGGGACCCCCACCTTGGCTGCCTTCCGGGCTAGTCCTCCTCCTGCCCTAAGCCAGCTCCTCTTGTCCCACGGCCTCAGAGAACATTGCCCTGCCTGTGACCCACCAATGTCATGGACCCGTGTGTCGAACAGCTGACCTGATGGTTCTCCCAGGCTATCTCAAAGGAGATGCATATCCAACATATCTAAACTCAGCTGGGCACGTTGCACACACCCATAATCCCAGCACTCTGGGAGGCTGAGGCAAGAGGATCACAAGTTCAAGTCCAGCCTGGACAACTTAGTAAGACGCTGCCTTAAAATAAAAACTGGCTAAGGATATAGCTCAGTGCAAAGGCTCTGGGTTCAATCCCCAGTATTTCAAAGTAAGATATCTACACCCAAATGCATGATCCTTCCTCAAGAGCATTCCCTTGACTCAGTGGTTGTCCCCCACATGCACACGGCTAATCATCCCCTTCACCCACTTCTGGCAACAACTGCAAACCAGGGTGATCTTGGACCGCCCCTCTCCCTCCACATCCAAGCACGTTCAGTACCCCCTCCTAAAGATCTGTGAGATCTACCTCCTTCTCTCTGGTCCCAGAGCCATCAACCTGGTCTACCCGGTCAGCTCCCACCTCCTTGACTGTTTTTCAGAGCAGCCAGAAGGATCCCCTAAGAACATCTGATCTTGTCCTTTCCTTTATATCCTGGCCTCAGCCACTCACCTGGCCCTATCCTCCTTCCCTCAGGTTCTTACAGTGTCTGGGATGTTCCAGGCTCTTCCCAGGCTCAGAACTTCTGCACACGTGGTATCTCCCTGGAAACACTCTTCCCACTCCACGTTGACAGCTGCTGCTGCTGCTGCTGCAGTTTCAGAGGCAACCGAACACCCTGCAACCCAACTATTATACCCAGCTACTGTAGCCGCGCCTTCCTCACAGCCCAGCGCCACCTTTCCTAACTGCACAAACGTAAGTGCACAAATCCCTTTCTCCCCAGATGGCCTGTTAAGTCCCAGGAGGACTTACGCTATGGTTCTTGTCTCCCTGTGCTGGGCACAGTGCCTGACATGTGCTTAGCACAGGTTGCAGAGAAAGCCAGTTTGACAAGACATTGGACAGGAAGCTCCAGGCCCAGCTATGGGCACCTACCTTACAAGCTCCTCGTTGTAGAGGGACAGGGGGGACTCCCGGCCGAGTATGTACACCTGGCCCTTTAAGACGGACAGCTGCACCTTCCCTTCCACCCGCTCCTGGGACTTGGCTATGCAGTGGCGGACAAATTCACACTCGGGACTGTGCCAGAAACCTGCAGGGAGGAAATGGTCAGGGTGCTGGTGCTGCCAGCCTGGAACCAGACTATGGGGACATGGGGTACAGGAGGGGCACCCCAGGCCTAATGCTGTGATGGCTGGGGTGCAGGCCCGGCCTGTCTTGTTCACTAGGAGCCCTTGGACATTGTTCACTTATCAGTGACAGAGTAGAGGACATGCCCTGGTACCACTGTGTAGTGCCCAGGACAGGTGGCTTAGGCTCAAACAGACCGTGAGCGTGCATGTCCTTCCCTCTCCATGCCTCAGTTTCCCCACCTGTGCAGTGGAGAGTCACAGTACTACTGTACGGGGAGCCCTGCACTGGGCAAGCATCACAGCCAGGGGCTGCTGTGAGTGTGGAACTCAGGGACCCCACTCCACCCCAAATAACTGAACTACCGTCTTCAGCCTGTAAACTTGCAGCTTTTTTACATGCACAGATGGAGGGCCTGCGGTCGGGGAGGTCAGGGGTCACCGCTCAGTCCAGGCTGCCCTGGGCTTGAAGGCAGGCTCGACCCGTGCACGGCCGCTGTCTCCTCCCTGCCCCTGCGGAGGGCGGCCAGGTGGCCCCGGCCAGGTGGGGGAGGGACAGCACTGGCGGGCGTAGGATTTCTCTGAAACAGAGCTGGGAAGGTGAGCCCACCTGGGCAGCTGCGGGGCCAGATGGTGGTGCCCTCCGGCCCTGATAAGATCAGGGTGAGCCCAGGGTCTGGGGCTATTGTCGGAGGCAAGGGGTGGGGGGCGGGAACGGAGGAGGCTGGGTCCTCACTCACCCACCGGTGTCCTGCCGTGTGAATTCACATCCAGGCCCTACCTTGACCTGTGACTCAGTTTCCACATTTGTACAAAAGGACACTGTTACTAATCAATCTCCAGGGACCCAACTCGAGGAACAGGGCGCTGAGCATTCTGCTTTGCGGTTGAAATCCAGCCCTTATTATGGACAGGGAGACAGAGCCCCAGACAGGGACAGAGTCTGTCTAAGGCCACACAGTGAGGCCACGGCGGGGTCCAGGTCCGATGGAGCACTCTGAACTGTAGCCAGGGCCTTTCCAAACACACCACTGGACGCCTGCCGGGCACCACGGGACAACAGCGAGGAACCACTGGGCGCCTGCTGGGGACAACCACACCCCCCAGGGGTCTGTGCTGGGCTTTCTCAGCCGGGACAATTACCCCATCACATTCCCAGGCTGAAAGGCAGGTGGAGATCGAGCTAGAGATAGGGAGGCCAGAGATTGGCGTGGGAGCAGCTGGCCTGGCCTTTATCGCCTGTCCCCAACCCACAGGGGTCTCTGGTTCAAGTTTCTTTTCCCAGGGGACTCAGCCTGGGGAGGGGACTGCAGGCCCCAGGTCTGTGGATGCACTGTGGGCGAGGCCAGGCCTGAGCCAAGGAGGCTCCCCTCCCACATGCCAGCAGGCCATGCCAAGCACACTACACACAGGAGCTCAGGACAGTTCTCTGCAATGTGTACATTATACCCATTTTACTGCAGGAAAAACTGAGGCAAGCGGGAGGAGGTGGACTACACCCCCTAAATGAGATGTCCTTCTGGGGTCCTGAAGCTGGGGTCTTGCCAGAGGCCACCTCTCCTGGAGAGACAGGGTCTCCTGAACCCATCTGGCCAGACCAGAAAACTGGGGAGGGGAGGAGGGAGATCTAGCCAGACCTGGGGCACAGTCACAGAGGCAGGACATACAGGCGAGGGGCTGGGGCAGGTGGAAGGGCTTCCGCATGCCTCAGTCTCCCCATCTGTGTCCTGAGGCTGTGGGGGCTCTGCAGAAGCCAAGGACTGCAGCAGAGTGGTGGGTCTGTACCCCAGGAGCCAGATGGGACCAGGAGGAGGCCTTGGCGTGCTCTGGGCCTGGTGTGCTTTAACTTACAGCAGGGCAAACCGAGGCCCCGGAGGAAACGCACCTGTCTGAGACAGCCAGAAGCAAGGCCCCGCTGGCTGCCTCCTCCCTGGAAGCCATGCTGGCTCTGAGTCACTGCGCTCGCGCTCAGAGCGCTCCGCCACCCTGTGACCTGCTGGGTCCAGAGCAGCGCGCGTCCTGTGTGGGGAGTCACAGCCAACAGCCCCTCTGGCTCCGGGGTGACTGGCTGCTGCCAGAGGCCGGGCCTGACCCTGCGGGCCGGGGCGCGGTTAATATTAGCAGAGCGACCTGGACAAGCCTGGCTCCCCTGCCGCCTCCCCAACGCCTCCACTGGGAGGTTTTGTTTCCTCTAAATCTCCTAATCGCTGTACCTCATTTTGGGATTTAGAGGGCTCGCTGCTGGCCGACAGAGGGGGACTAGATGTGGGCAGTGTGGTGCGGAGGCGCTGTGCCCGCCCCAGATGCCCGGGGCTCCCTGGTCCACCCAGAGCCTCCCCTCAACAGCGGCTCCCCTGGGATCCACTGGAGTAACCAAGAACTTGGCCGCGGAGGCCCCCTGCCAGGGCCCAAAGCTGCAGCAGCTCATCAGCCACAGAACCCGGGGCGAACGGCAGCGTTGGTGGCACAGCGGTTAGCACAGCTGCCTTCCCGGACCCGGGACGACTGTCTCTACTGTCCTGGCCTCAGTTTCCCTGCCTCTGTGCAGCTGAGGTTAGATAACACCCATCAGGTTGGGCGGGCGAGGTGGCGCGTGCCTGCTATCCCAGCACTTGGGAGACTAAGGCAGAAGAACTGGTGCAAGTTCGCGGCCAGCCTGAGCTACACAGCAAGACCCTGGTCTCAAAAAAACAAAAACAAAAAAAACCAACAACTGATAAAACCCATTGGTGCCAGCTTGGGGCTTAGCAGCAGGACAACAGGGGAGGCGGCAGCCGAAGCCACTGTGGCCAAGGAGGCCCCGTGCCTGCCTCCTGCCTGGCCTCCACGCACGGCACGCGCACGCGGCTGGGCCAGGTGCTCCCCGCCACCGCACCCCGTCACGTCTTAATGATGCCCCCACTTCTATAGCCCAAATCCACCTTTCAGTGCTGAAATCCCGCCGAGCCCCGGAGCCTGCAGGAAACAATGGCATTTAAACACCTGTCTGTACCTGGGAGGAGAGGGCCGGCTGGAGGGATAATGTCAGCCAGTCCTCACCGGCCCTCCTGGAAGGCTGGGGTGGGCGAGGTGGGTCTCGGTGCAGGAGGGGGAAGAGGGGAGAGGACGAGGCGTTCCCCACCTCACCTAGACCCTGTCCCAATAGCTGAAGGCGACTGCTCAGTGTGATGCCCCAGACTAGGAACATGCGAACACGACAGACTGGGGCCAGGAAGGCGCTGCCCAGGAACGGCCCATGGTGGATGGCTGAGACTCTGCTGATCCCCGCTCAGCTCTGCCACCGAGGCTTGACGCAGCCATAGGCCGCAGGGACACGACAGTATGGCTGTGTCTAACTACAACTATTTCTGGACACTGAAAAAAAATATCTTTTTACAGTCCTAGGGATTGAACCTAGAGCTTTTGCACTGAACTACATCCCCAGCTCTCTCCCTCTTTGATTTTTAATTTTGAGATAGGGTCTCACTAAGTCACTCAAGTTGCTCATGCTGAGCTGGAACTTGCGATCCTCCTGCCTCAGCCTTCCAGAGTACTGGGATGACAGGCGTGCGCCACTACATCCGGCTGGACCCTGAAATTTGAATTTCATATCATTGTCACATGTCATAAAATAGTTATTTTTTTCCTCTTTCCAACTATCAAAAAATATAAAAAGTATTCTTAGCTCACGGTTGAATAAAACCAGGTGGCAGGCTGGATCCGGCTCAGGGCTGTCACTTAGGGAGTCCTGGAGCAAAGCAAGAAGCTGTCTGCTTGCCAGGATGCTTGGGGACTACACACAGTAAGACACAAGGTCACCCACTCACTGCCACCCAACTCCGTCTGCGAGGCTCAGGCCCGAGGCCACCCCAGAGGGCTCCCAGTCAGCATCGACCGGCCGAGCTCAGACTGGGGCTGAGCGCCCGTCAAGGAACCTGTCCCTCGAGCACTTCAGAGTGGCTCCAGTTCTGCACGGGGACAGGCCAGTTTGAACTCGGACTCACACTCCGTGAGGCCACTTCCGACTCTGTTCGCCTCAACAAATCCCCCCTCCTCTGAGCCTCAGTTTTCTTATGTGTAAAAGGAGCTGGAGGCTTCCAGGGAGACTTGTGAGGACCGCTGGGATATCACACGTCCCACACGGTGGTACCTAGCACCTGCCACATGCAGAATATGGGGCCGGCTGCCCTAGGGACAGTGTGCAATGCTCCTGGCCTTGCTGCCACAAGGTGGAGCAGCCCCGGGGGGCAGGGACCCCTCTGCACGCTTGGCAGGGGGCCTGGCCTCCCCCCACAACGCCTGCCGCCCTGGGCCCTCCCTGAGCTGAGGTAGGTGGCGCAGGGCAGGTCGGGCAGGGCGGGCCAGGCGGGGACCGGGCACCCACCGGTGTAGACCAGCTCGGCGAATTTCAGGCCCAGGCCCTGTTTGATTTTGCGCACTTCCCGATCCATGGTGAAGGCCTCGATGTCTAAATGAGCGTGGTAGAGGATGGTCCCCGCTGGGGTCTCGTAGATACCTAGCCATTTTTCCAGGCAGGGGGAAAAGGAGAAAAAAGAGAGAAACGCATGAAACCCAAACTGTCAGCAAATGAAAAAAAAAATAATAATGACTCATCTGACAGGAGACGAGCCGGTGGGACCCATTCACTCCCAGCTTGCTGCAAAACGCGGCTGTCATTACGCTCATGCTGGGGCCACGACAGTCCACTCTGCGGCTTGTGGAGAAAATGTCTAGATGCCCCGCTTTGAAGAGGCCCTCAGACGCTGGAAAATGACAGGGTTTCCGAGGGGCGCCCCCCTCCTTCCTGATGCCTGCCCACTGGCCCGCGGCTGAAAACCTGTAATTAAACCAACTACGGCAGCGCCCAGGGCCCCAAATATCCCTTCCTCCCTTCCACTAGGGAGCTGGGGAGGGGGCACTGTACACACACACACACACACACACACACACACATGCACGCACACACACGCACGCACGCACACACGCACGCACGCACACACGCAGGCCACCTTCAGCCAGCAGCTCCCAGGCAACCATGTCTCTCCAGAGACTGCAAGTGGCCTGGCGCTCGAGTGACCATCTGGGCTGGCCCCACTGTACAGATGGGGAAACTGAGACCGAGAGGAAATGGCTTGCGAGAGGGAGCACTGGGAGCTGACTGCAGGCCCCAGGGTCCCCGCTCAGTGTTGTCTGCTTCCCTGTGGGTCACCTGGCCACAGAAGTCCAAACCCAGGAAGTCAGGGGACAGGGACTTGCTTAGGTCCTTTCCATCAACACACCCTGCTCTCCATTTACAAAACGACCTGCTCAGACCGAGCAGGCACTGAAGGGGCCTGGGCTGAGCCGGGTTCCGGAGGAACGTCCCCTGCACAGTGCCGCACTACACAGACACACCAAGGCCAGGAGTGTGCACGCCTGCCCGGCCCCGGCTCCTTGGCCCTGCAGCGTGGCCCTGCAGCGGGCAAATGTGTCCCATGTCCTGTGTCCCGACGGGGGATGGGCAATAGCTGCCGAATGCCCATAGACCCTCCCCTGGAAGGTTCCTTTCCCCTAATACGATGGATTGCAAGAGGAAGTTTCCAGCTGTCTGAAATTACCACCGTTATTTTTCCAGGCTGGTTGCTTTAAAATAAAATAAAATAAAATAAAATAAAACAAAAACCCAGGATGCACGTACACACCCACGTTCACAGCAGCACACAGGAGCCGAAAGAGAAAGGAGCCTAAGCCACAGCCAGAGGAACGGAGAAGCAAACCGTGGCCCACCCACGCTCAGCCTGGGAAGAGAAGCGTGTTAGGACACTGCTCCCGCACGGAGAGTCTGGGGCACCTTGTGCTCAGCGAAGAAAGCCAGCCACGAAGGGCACATGCGCCGGGTTCTGGAGTAGGCAGTCATAGAGACAGAGGGCAGAACAGGGGCTGCCAGCCAGGGCCCAAGGGTGCAGAGTTTCAGCGGTACAAGAGCAAAAGTTCTGTAGCTGGGTGGCACGACGGCTGTACAGCCACAGGCATGAATGCAGTGCCCCCAAGCTACACGCATTCAAACCCTGACAACGGTCCGTCCCGTGTCCTGTGTACTTTGCTACAGTTCATACAGTGCTCTACAAAGTAAACCAAACCAAGCAGCTCGGCGTGGTGGCACACACCTGTAATCCCAGCATTCGGGAGGCTGAGGCAGGAGGATCACTGCAAGTTCAAGACCAGCCTGGGCTACAAAGGGAGCTCAAGGCCAGCCTGAACTGCATAGGGAGAACCTGTCTCAAAAACAAAAGAAAAAAAAAATACATAAAAGTAAACCAAACCACGAGGGAGAAGGTTCTGAACTCTGGAGCCGGGCGGCGGGTACACGGAGAAGGCAGTCTGATGAGATCTTCCTGTCACTAACTAGATGTCTCCTCCTCTGAGCACCCTGCTGGGATCTGGTCTTCAAGTCTGGGCATCTCAGAAATGAAAAGCCCTTACTGATTATGGGCCATGTTTTCCTAGCTTAGCTGCACTTGGGCAAAAGCCAAGCATCCTGAAATGATGGCCAGGGGAGCAGAGGACCCTCTGTAAACCCTGGGCTCGAGGAGCAGTCTTTAGGTTGCTGAATGATCCAATGCACCAATTTTACAGATGAGAAGACTGAGGCCCCAGAAGGGTAGTGACTTGCTCAAGGTCACCTGGCCAACCACAAGGGGGACAAGACCAGCATCTCGGTCCTGTCTTGGCCCAGACCACCTCTAAGGGCCTTTGGCAAGCAACCCTATACTCTGTGGCACACAAAAAAATCACTCAAGTCCGAGGTTTCAGTGACATGTGCCCCCAGGTACCAGGTATTGACATGATCACCACTGCCATGAAGAAGCCCAGCCCATTCCATGGATGGGGGCCACAGCTCCCAGGCAGCTTCTGTGTGTAGACACAGTTCCCACCATCCACATCCACCGCAGCTCAGAGCCTGGGGACAGACAGGGGGGCGAGTGGGCGGGTGGGAAACACTGCTGCCCACAGCCTGGGACAGGGGACACAGGGACTCAGCACAGAATTCAGGGTCACTCTTCTGTGGGGACAGAGCGCTTCCACGTTCTGATGGCCTCAAGCCATTAAGAAAGGGCTGCTGGTCCTGCAGTCTGTTTAGAAAGACAGGCACATAGCCTGTCATCCCAGCACTCTGGGAGGTCAAGGCAGGAAGACTGCAAGTTTGAGCCCAGCTGGAGCAATTTATTAAGAACCCACTCTCAAAATAAAAATTAAAAAAATATCTGGGGATGTAGCTCAATGCAAAGGCCCTGGGCTCAATCTCCGTGACCACGAAAGAAAGGACGAAAAGCACACAAGGGAAGAACATTTGGAAGTATTTGCCTGCATGGAAAGGTCCCTAGGCAAGCTTTCAACTACCTTAGAAACTTTGTTGCCCAGAATAAACCGTTTCCCTGTGAGCCAGTGCAAGCAGGGCGCCCTCCTAGGCTGGTTGATCTCCTCCAGGCACAAACTCGGAACTCAGCTCTGAGGGTTAGAAACAGCCCCTGAGAGATTTCATGCTGCAGACCTCACAAAACCCTGCAGAAACCTGCGCCACCCTCTCACGCTGGCCGAGAGGTAGAAGGGGACCCTCCCTGCAGGCCCAGGGCAGAGCCCCTGCATCAATTCTGGGGCTCCCGGGCCACCCTCAGTGCCTCTCTCTTCGGTCACTTGTGAGCTGCAGACCTGCTGTGTTCACAGGGCTGGGACCGCAGCCGCAAGTCCCACAGAGAGCCCCGCGTGGCTTCGTGGGACCTTCACCTTCAGCCCCTGTCTGAGTGAGCCCCAGGCCGCAGCCTGTCCGGAGAACAAGGCTGCACCTTTCTACTTCTCCGGCCTGCAAACTTCCTGAGAGCTACCTGCAAGAGGAGCACCTACATGCCGTCCCAGCAAGCTGTGCGTGCTGATGGTCCTGTAGGGACGGGTCCCTGTCCAGCGAGGGGGGACACAGGTGACCAGAGCCACGACCTACCTGGAGCTCACCAGCCACTAGCCCATCACAGATGTCCCTTAGGAAGCAGAGGCCGGCGCCACCAGGAGCAAAGAGCGCCCACGGCACGGGGTGGTGGCGTGGTGGTGGCAGTGGCAGAGCTCCCTGGTCCTCAGACTGCCTGTCCCGTCCCCTCTGAGGCACCTGCAGGAGGGTCACAGGCCGGGGCAACGCCGCAGCCGCAGCCGTGGAACACGCCGGAGCCGTTACCGCCCCTGCACCTTTTCCGAGGAGGTGTTAAAGTTAATTGCGACTGATCAGAGGGGTTAGGTTGCTGCGGCCTTGTGGGTGCGGGTGAGCATGGGGGTGCGTCTTAAAGCTCTCCCCTCTCTCCGCAGGGGTAGGGGGTATGGATGATTTCTGTATATTTCTTCTGGGGAAAAAAAATGACTTTAAAAAAAATTGGTGACAGAAACCTGATGCTTAAAGACTGGATTTGGGGCTTTTGACAGTTGGCATACAAACCACTGCGCAAAAAGGAGGCGACAGTGACAGCTGCACCTCCACGCTGCCGTGGAAGAGACAACAGACGTCTTCCGAGTGACACGCACAGTGGCTCCAAGTGTCTATTTTCATCTCCCCGTGTTTACAGGAAAAGACAGAGGTGTCAGCAGTGCTCTGCGGAGCAGCTTCAATCACACCGTAATTACGCCAGCCAGGGCGGGAGGACGAGGAGCCGGGCGGGCAGGCGGGCGGGCGGGGGACGGTGGACCAAGGTGGGGACCGCACAGCTGCTGCGGCTTCTTCTCATCCGTTCTCAGGGCTGCCAGCTTAGCCTGGCTGGAGCGATGCGGGAGAACTGAGGGGGATCTGCCAAGCCCGCGGGGGTCGGGGCAGGGGTCAGGGCACCTGGACCACAGGAAGGGATTTGAAAAGGATGGGAGGAGGGAGGCTGGCCAGAGCCCAAGAGCTCTCCTCTTGGGTACCAGGGCCAGAGGTGGTTGCTATGGTGACGGGAGGCAAGTCAGGGTGATGCTCCAGGCATCCCGTGCCCCTGGTGCCCAGTAGGGCCCGCCCCAGATGTCAGGGAAGATCTCTGAGGCTGGCCACGCCGGGCCTCTGCTCACTGGGCTCCCTCCCTCCGCTATCCTTCAGAAAAGTTCTCCCTGAGCAGAGGAGAGGCCGGAGAGGGACGCAGGCAAGGTGGGCAGGCAGGTGGGGGAAGCGAGTGGAGGAAGAAGAAGGAAGTGAGACGGAAGGGATGGTGGAAGCGAGGTGGGGCCGGGTGGAGGGGGAGAAGGGAGCAGGTGCCCTCGGAGGGCCAGGAGAGAGGCTGGAGGGGGTGGAGCGTGCAGGGTGCAGCCAAGGCCACAGCAGACAGAGGTGAGGCTGGGCGGGGCGGGGCCAGGAGCAGAGGAGGCCCGGCTGGCTCCTTCCTCTCTCCTCCTGCCTGCCCGCCCGCCCCCCTCCTCCCCACTGATTTCATTTACTTCACTTAAATTAGCCCCCCTCCAGAGTTAAAAAGATAATGTGGTAATGACGATGTGAACAGCCACAATACAGCGAAAGCCCTCCATCTGCAGCCTCCCCAGCCCTCTGTCCCTGACCCCACGGCCCTGAGAGCGCCTGCTGACCAGGCCACCCCAGGCCCAGCCTTCTAGCATCGCCCAGCCCCCTCCCCGGAAAAAAAAAAAAAAACCAAGCCCTTAACGAATTTCAATTACAAGGTTTGTAAAATCAATACAAATGACGTTTTCCCCGGGTACACCGAGGCACGGACTATAGCATCTCCTGCGCTACCCCCCAGGCCACAGATCAACAGTTTCTCCCATGACTCCATGTAATGAACACCTCGTCACGGGGAGTCCACACCACCCTCATTCATTTACCCCTTCTTGCTTGCTTACAATACTTATGGCGGAGAAATGAAAACAGGGTACACCCTAAAAGTACCAAGCAAGGAACGAGGCAAGTGGAACTTTGGGGCGATGGGGGAGCCTGGTTCTTCCTCCAAAGGCTGGAATCTCAGAGAGGGACAGCAACTTGCCTAAGGTCACACAGAAAATCCTTGGAGTCAGAATCCTGACTTCCTTCCCCAGAGAGTTGCAGAGCTCTCAGATTAAATTTTGTGCTTTGGTCACCCCTCTCCCTAGAGGTTTGGACACAGCAGCCAGGCAGAGCGAGGTTGGTGTGCGCCTCAGAGAACTTTTCCTGTGTGTGTGGTAGGAAGCCAAGGGGGTGGGACAAACTATTACTGATCTCATGGCTGTCCAAGAGGATGATGCCCTCCACCCAGTTCTGGATAAAGGAGCTGAGCCCCCCACCAAGCACAGCACCTCAGGCCATTTCACAGGTAGAGTAGTTGAGGCTCCAGTCTGACACCAAAGCCAGGACCCTCAACACCAGCTCTTCCTTGGGCCTCCCCCGGGCCTCCAAGGGTGCAGCCCCCACCAGGACACCTAGGGCACCTCCTGCCCTTTCCCACTCCCAGATGCCTATTCCACACTGAGCCAGTGGAAGCCTCCTCCCCCACGATGGCCTCCCAGAATGGCACCATCCCTCCTTCATCACCACCTCAACTGCCTCTCACAGTGACCTCAGGCCAGTCCTTATCTTCCCAGCACCCTGCCCACAGGCAGCAACCCTCATCAGCTCACCCTACACCGGCCCGCAGCACTGAGCTGCCCCTGCAGCCAACAGGATAGTACAGCAATCGGTTAGTAATGCCTGCCACAGGCACGGGAAGGGCATGATGTGCAGTACTGTACTAGACACCACTGAACCCCAGTGGCCACCCCCAGAAGGGGACCGGCTGCTGTTTACCAAGTACCACTACTGCACCTGTTCCTGCTGTTATCTGGTAATTTGAACCTGGGTCTGTGTGTCTTCAGAGCCCAAGCTCCTAGGCCACTTCCCCACGCCTTCCTGGGCAGGGGCACTAGCCTTGGTCCTGCCATGGAGGGGCCTGGGGTTTAGAGTGAGCCCTCTCTCTTCCCAGGGCCTTGGTTTCCCCTCTGTATGATGAGGTGCTGGTCTCTGGCTCCCCAAGGTCCTGCCCGGCTCTGCCTTGGAGGATGCCCATTGTGCCGGCTCCCAAGGGCAGGTGGAGACAAAGCGACATTTAATCAGATGTTACATAGGTAAGAGACAAAGTAAGGCAGCATAAAAGGCGACAGCTAATTAGCAGCATTGTTCTGCACAAGGCCTTCTCAAGAGAGTTTCAATTAGGTTCTTTCTCCTGGATAGTACCCGAGGGGAGGGGAGAGCCCCAGGAAAGAGGGGAAGTGGCTTCCTCCTCCTTCACACCTTCAGAAGAAAATCAAACAGTTAGAGCCAGACTGCTCCAACCCCCAGCTCCAGGCTCACTATGGTGCACTTGGGGAAACCGAGCCCTGGAGATGCCTCGCCCAGGGTCCCAGGTAAGGCAGGGCACACCTGGCACAGCGGCCCGGACCTCTGCCTCCCAAGCCAGTGCCCTCTCCAAAGGCTGGATTTTGCTCACCAGCGCTCTCGAAGTTTAGGGTCCTCTGGTGTTTTGGGCCCTAAGCGGAGCGATGTGAGCACCTGCCGAAGGGGCTGTGAGTGCTGCAACTCGCCCCCTCCCCTTGAGCGCCCCCCAGGAGCTCTGTCACACACCGGCAGCTTCTCAGCCCCAGGAGCACGCCCCGTTGCAGAGATGGGGAGCTGCGTCCCCGACAGGAGGGTGTGGCAGTGAAATGGCAGCGAGTGACAAAGGGACTCCGGGTTCCTGGACCACTGCTCAGTCCCGCCCAGCCTCAGGGGCGGCCGCTCCTGCCTGCTGTCCCGGGAGGAAGCTCCTGGCCTCGGCGGCCCGCAGCGCCCACCCCCGGCAGGAGTCCCGCCCTGCCTTCTGGGCTCGAGTGAAGCAGCATTAAGGACCAGGAACGCGCCCGCCCCCACACAAGGAAGCCTGACCTCCAGGTCCCTCTGCGATGCGCCTCTCCCAGCACCCCGAGACCTCGGCGGAAAAGGCCACAGTTCCCACGTCCCGGGGGCCGCGCTCCTCCATGCTCCGGGTGCCGAGCCCACTCACCTCGGGACTTCATCCCAATGAAGCGGTTCTCCACAATGTCGATGCGGCCCACACCGTGCTTGCCCCTGAGGGAAGAGTGGGTCACACAGATAAGGCGCTGGTGCGAGGCTTGGGGTCAGATGCCACCTGCTGAGCTGGCGTGGCTTGGCTGTGCCTACCCCAGAGCCCCATGCTGGGCGCTAGGTGCCATCTCAGGCTGCAAGACATCTGAGCCAAGTCACCTGACCCAAGTGCCCCTTGCACAGGTGGGTAAGTTGAGGCTGAGAAAGAGAAAGGAGTGCCTGGGTCCCTGTGTTCAATTTGCTTCTTTGGTGCTCTTCGTCCTGGGCTTGTGTGGGCCCAGCCCTCAAAGCATTCATCTTTTCTTTTGCTCTGCTCCCTGGCCCAGTCAAAGTCCTGGAAGACCCAGGCCCTTGGCAAGCAGCAGACTCCTGGGTTGTTACCTACACTGGCTGAGGAGTCTACAAAGGAACAAGGAGGCCTCTCCTGTCAGACCCACCCCTGTGTCCCGGAGGCTCTGTGGCGAGGGGTGAGGACACAACCTGCCGGCCCGGCCCCTGAGCCTCGGCTGTGACTGACTGTCAGCGGCCGCCGTGGTCCCCGCCTGCCGGATGTGCTAGCCCGTGGTAGGCCAGGTGTCGGCAGACACTCACGCGACTTCATTCAGGTACAGGAAGAGCTCCAAGGAGGTGCTGTGGGTGGTGCCATCCTGGATGTTGGTCACCTTCACGGGGACCCCTAGGGCAGGAGAGGGGGTGCTGTGGGCCTCCGGGCTGGGATGCTCGGGGAGCTCGAGCCCGCCCCGCCCCCTCCTCTGGTTGCAACGCCTTAAACGCATGTGACAGATATAGAGTTCAAGTGACTCCTTCCAAGCCCTGGGCAGGCTGAGGCCTGCTGCTGGGAGAGAAGGGGCGAGAGAGCCCCCCAGAATGAAAGGGCAAGTGCAATAAAAACGCTCTCCCCCACCCTCCCATTCTCTTCACCCCTTTTGCATTTAGGGGCTGTGAAATTGGAACCAGGCCCTGAACTAATTGAATTTCACGCTCCACCATTGTCTTAGGCCGGGAGCACCTTCTGTCCCACCGGTTCCCCGGGGCCGCCTGGCCGAGTGCAGCAGGGTCCTGGCGCACGCGCACACACCGCAGCCCCTTCCACATCTGTCGGGCGGACCCCCGAGCCCTGACGCCGGTACCCCAGCCCCGCACCTCAGCCAGCCGACGGACTAGGGTGAGCTGGTACCCGCTCGGGCAGGGAGGCGCCCGGGAATCTGAGAAGCGGGGTCTGGGGTGGCAGTGGCTCGGGGAGGGCCCTGCCGGGCCGTGTCAAGGGGGGTGGCGGGCGGAGGGGTGGGGGCCGATGGGTGGGTTCAGGGTAGCCTTTGAATAGCAAGGGCACTTTCTCGAGCGGTGTGAAATGAGCAATAAATGTATTAGGGCGCTAACAAGAGAGCTGTAACAGTGACAAAGAAAAGCTGTTCAAAGTTGGCGGCTAATCTCCCACCCATCTGCCCGGCTCATTACCATGTAGCCGGCCATCGGGTGCCAATCAGCCCTCAATAGCGCCTTTCGAGTCTTTATTAGCCAGGCGCCGCTCCGAGGGCTTCGCTCAAGGCGCTGTCAGCCGCGCCATTCTTCACCCCCATTTCCAGGGGTTTTATAACTTGGTTGTAAATTGCTATTAAATGTAAGTCTGCCCAATAATGAACCTTAAGCCCCTCTCGCCACCCCCCGCCTCTCCCCTCTCCCTTTCTCTCCCTCCCTGGTCCTATTATGGGCCGGCCTGCGCTGGGGCCTGCCCCAGATAAGAGGTGACATTGTTGCTGCTGCTGCCGGAGAAAGCCTCTTAGCCTTTAAAATAGTTAATAATTAGATTAAAACTTCAAATAAATTAACTAGAGAGTGAATGGGAACCAGGCAGGGGAGGGGTCCTCCCCTCCTCTTCTGCTCCCCCCTTTTCTTTTCTTTCTCCAGACTGTCCCCTGGTCCTGACAATGGTCACATCGCTCCTCCAGCTCAGCCCACGGAGCCGCCTGCCCCGCCGGGACCCTCCGCAGCTCGGGCAGCCCCACGCACACGGGGAGCCCAGGTGCTGCTGGCTGGTCTTCCTGGGGATGGAGGACACTGGCGGAGGCCGTGGCAAAGGGGACCCGAGACGACGCTGCCTCTGCTCCCCCAAGGCCTCCGGGGTCCCCGGGAGGTGCGAAGTTGCCCCTGCTTGGCCTGGAAGAGGTGGGGTACCACAGTCCTAACAGTAAGACACCGGCTTCGCTTCTGCCCATGCTCCTGAGCCCAGGGGGCAAAACTGCTCGTCAGGATCGCACCAGCCCAGACACCGGCCTGACCCGCCGCTTTCCCTCAGCAGCCCGCGGCTCCCCTCGCTTCCTCCTGTCTCTGGGGTGCCCTGGGGAAAGGCTGAGCCCCTGAGTGCCGTTCTTCTGACTTCCTGCTCCAGCTCGGAGCTGCTTTATGGACGGGCTGGTCAGTCCCCGGGCCTGGCCTTGGTCTGTGAACTCTCGCTTGACACCGCCTCCTCCAGGAAGCCTTCCTGTTTCTTCAAGGTCCTCCACAGCCCACAGCCTCCCTCTGAGCTGGGTCCAGGCTGTGCCCTCCCTCTTTCCTTAGGGCAAGAGAGGACCACGGTGCCCATCTGGAGGGAGGCACTCGGGCCGGGCCAGCAGCCACTTCCTGTGGACAGTAGCAAGGCGGAGGCCAGATCGCACCGCACACAGACCTCGTCCTATGCCAGGAGAACGCAGCCCCTCTCTTACCCGCTGCTCACAGACGAGAACACGGAGGCCTGGGAAGTCCCAAGCAGCTGGCAAGGGGCCGCTGGGGAACTAGAAGGTTCCACAGACTGGTGTGACAGGGAGCCAGAGGCCACACTGCCCGGGGATCGGGTCTGCCTAGACTCTGGCTTCCAGGATGGCAGGAGGGGAACAGAGGGCTGGCGGCCCCTCTCCGGACCTCAGGGGTGGGCACGTACCTTTTTTGAATTCTATCTCCAGGATGTCGGGGCTGTTAGGGGCTTTGGCGGGGTCCTGGGTCTTTGTGTAGAGCCCCGGAGGAGCTTGGTTCTGAAAAGAGAAAGCAGCTGGAGGGATGGGGTGTCACAGCCAAACCCAGATGTGCCTGTACCCCGACACCAGCACGCCCCTTCCTGCAGGCACCAGCACCCCCACCCCTCTCCAGAACCGGGAGCCTGCGGCGAGCCCCACTGGCCGGGGGCCTGGGAAACAAAGGGCTGGAGAAATCAGACAATTTTTCCCCTCAACTTGATCTCATCTTTTTCTTCGACGCCCCCACAGCTGGAGGTAGAATAGCAGGAGAGAAACAAGTCAGGAGGAAAAGTGCGACTTCGGAGTCGGGCGGCGCGTGCGTCCCTCGGCTTCCCGGGAGCCGCACGCACGCACGCTCTCACCGGCGCCAGGAATTGGGGTTTATTCCGCACTGACCGCAAAGCTAATGACTGTGCGTGACCCCAGCAGGTGCTCTGTCGAGCCGAGCCGTCCCTGAGGGCCCCGAGGTTAATACTCACAGGGAGAAAAGAGAAGAGCAAAGCAGAAACCCATTTGAAAACACATCAACCCTTGTGTGTATCTGTGCTCGGCTGTGGTGGAAACGGGCCATCCTTGGAGGGGCGGAGGGGCCGCTCCCAGCCTGAGACGCTCCCGGGCCGAGGGGACAGGGCTGCAGGGCTGACTGCGGCTGTCCCTCCTGGGGGCACCCTGTGCCCAGCCGCGCTGCCCTGCTGCGGCCCACAGTCCCGGAGGTCTGCCCCTTCCAGACCCGCACATTCACACTTCACTCAGCGCACGGCAGCTTCCGAGTCTGGGAGGCAGGCCGTCCCCTGCCACCCCACCCACAGACGAAGACAGGGAGGCTGGGGTGGGGAGGGGGTTGTGTTGCGTCCCTCTGCTTCCCTGGCACCTAGCAGAGCAGGGACCCACAAGGCACCCAACTAACAGGTGCTGGCTTTGACAGCCGTACCCAAGCCAACGGTCAGGGCCACAGGTGTGGGGCCTTGGACCAGCTGCCTTACTTCCCAAGCCTCAGTTTCTCCATCTGTACAATGGGGAAATTATGTTGGTGCCTGACTCTTACAATTTAAGGGTATGAATATTCATGAGACAATGTTCCTAGGACAGCCGGCAATGTTCCCCGGGGCCTCTGTCCCCAAGGGGCCCTTTCAGGACAGGCTCAGGTCCCACCCAAGGTCCCTGGCTGCTGGCAGAGTGATGGGCCAACCTCAGTTTCCCTGACCCTCCAGCTTTTAGCACTGAAAGCGTCAGGTCCAAAGCGTCCTCAGAAGGAGGACCCTCAGGAGGGTTCATCCTTCCTTCTCCAAGTCTGGGGTCGGAGAGGCGGTGCTGGGACCCCTGCCCCTCTGAGACCTGAGGCCCTCAGCCCTTCACCTGCTCCCATTTGCGGCCAGGACACGGGACCCAGGACCAACCTTGAACAGACCCTGGGGGGCAGAGGGGCCCTTAGAGACCCCTGGCCCAATGCCTGCTTGGCCAAGGGAGGAAAGCAAGGCCCAGGGAGGGGCCTGTTACAAACCACACCTGGACATTCACAGCGGGAACTGGAGAAGGCCAGGCTCCCTGACCCGTCAGATCCCGCGCTCACGCCACCTTCCCGGGCACACAGAGCTCGGGGGCCTCCTCAGCCCGAAGAGCAACAGAACCAAGGCTGGGTCTGGGGCGACAGCAGCGCCCACCCTCCCCGAAGTCCTCCGCCCCGGCTGTGCCCGGTTCCCACAACGCGGCGCTGCTCCGCTACTCCCGCCACACTGCTCAGAGACCAGCTCGCGTGTGTGAGGACAGAGGAGGAGGGAAGCGGCCGGAGGACCAGGCCCCGCTAAGGGGATGTCGCCGGCAGCGGCCGGCCAGTAACCTGACAGCGCCGATGAGATAAAATAACTAAATAGAAATAAAATGCCATTTGCTTTGCATGCTGAGGTGGCCGGGCGCCTGCCTTTTTTACTCTCCCTTCTAAAAGCCCAGTTCAAATGACAAATAGTTTGTTGGCCAGTATCAATGCCATCTATTTATCCATCCCAGCGGGAGGCCCACTTCCAATGTCATCCCGGGGGAGTGCAGCGCGGGAGCAGTGGGGGGGGGCAGGGTGGGGGCGGGGAGGGGGCGAAAGAAAGCATGAAACAGGGTCCGAGAAGGAGAGATTGGAATCAAATGGCCCATGAACTAAACCATGATGTAGAGGCATGATCAATGCGGCAAATGGTTTATTCATCCGTCAGCTACGGCGGGCCGGCGACTGAATGAACTCTTTCACTGTGGCCGTATGAAGTTAAAGCAAGTAAATTTCTATCTTTCTTCGTATTAGCTGCCTCATTGCCCTTCAATCAGCCCTCATGGAGGCAGAAAATGGCTCAGCCATCTGCCTGCAAACCCTCCCTTCCGCAGGCCGAGGGGCTTTTTTGGGAGAGGGGGAGGGGCACCGGTTCCCCGGAGATTTGGCTCCCAGAAGCCCTGGGGGGCCGGGCTGCTCCAACATCCAGGGACACACGGGTGGGCTGGGGGGTTCAGTGTCCAGCATGGAGCCCCAGGGAACTGCCCCTGGGGCCAGGGCGACTGAGAGGACACGCTGACCCCCTGCCAGGCTGGCCAGGCACTGGGCGCCTCTGCCCACCCACGCCTCACCCATGCACGCCCAGCCTAGGCCAGCCTTCCGGGTGGGTGGGACAGGTCCCTCAGGTGGGACAGGCCCCCGGGAGGCACCCACCCCTCTGAGGCCTTGCCCTGCGCCGAGCCTCACCCTGGGGGGGTGCCCTGGCTTCCCACTTCCTGCCGGAGGACCCAGAGACTCAGAGAGAGGTGGGGGAGCTGGCCCCATGTTGCCTAGCAACAAGAAACTAAGCTGGGATTCGCACCCAGGTCTCCCATCTCTCAGACCACAGTGCGGATTAGGTGGCAGCACCCTAACAGGCCCTGACGCTCACGGGTGGGGGGGGGGCGAGTGGTCCGCGGTTAGAAGGCGATCGCCCCCTCTGGCCTCAGCTCCGCTCCCCAGTCCTACTCTGCCCTGGGGTTCTGTTCCGGGGAGCAGAGGGCCAGGCCTGCTCGGAGCCGGGTGGGGCGGCTTCCCAGCCTGTGCGGCCTAGCGGGACACTGGTCCCCCTTGGAGCTGACTGACTGGCTAATTAGAGGTGCTGGCCCCAGTGTCAAGGGGTCAGCAGAGCGTGAGCTGGAAAAACCTGTGGCCAGCAGGCAGCAGCCCCGTGGGGCCGTCAGTCCTCGGGGCACGAGGGTGCGGGCTGTCCTGAGCGACAGGCGCGGGCCACGCGGGCAGGCAGGGACGGGGCCACCGGCCAGTCTCTGCCTGAGCAGCCGGCGCCCTGGAGTCCCACTTGGGGCCTCAGCTTCCTCACCTGTAACAGGAGGGTGCGCACAGCCAGCAGAGCCAGGGAAATGCCGAAGCCAGACCTGGTGTCAGCATCGCTAGCATGTGTTATACCGCGGCCGCTGCCACAGTGTAGCCAGGATCAGCACCCGGGGTGATGATGTCAGAGACGCAGGGGCTGGGGGGCCATCTGGCACCCTGCGGGGCTCTGCTCTCCCCATCCTCAGCCACACCACCCCAGCATCTTACCTTCCAGCTGTCCCTGCCTCCTCCAGCAAACACATCCCCCCAGATGTTCCCCTAATGTCAGCCAAGCCGCCCGCCAGGCCCCAGGGCTGCGGGTTCAGGGCCAGGCAGGGACTGGAGCCCCCACCAGAGGAAGAGCTAGCTCCCGTCCCATGACAGACTCCTCCTGGCTTTCCCACCTCCCACAGTGGAGGGGACACACAAAGAAACCCCCAGGAGAGAGAGACCCCAAACTTCAAACAGGGCCGAGGGTCCAGCCCGAGAGGCGGGGAACGAGGATCGGGTGGCGGTGGCGGGTGTGCAACTCAGACCAGACAAACGGGTCCTGGGGCTGTCGGCCCCCACCCCTGGAGGCGGCAGCCGGCGGCCAGGGCTGGTGGGCGCAGGCTGGGCCCTCCCACAAGTGTCTCATCTGCCTAATTACGTCTTTATTGTCTCATCACCGCACACTCCCTCTCTGTGTTGCCCTGAAATATTTCCTTCCCTATTCATCCCAAGGGCAATTAGCAAAAGAGCACCAGGGAAGGGGGTGGGTGTCTTGAAACGCTGTGAGCAGAGGGCGGGCGGCGGGGCCCGCGGGCAGGGCTGGGACACAGGCGGCCGCTCCCCGCACACCGCCCCCGTGAAATTTCAAATTAGGCTACTAATACATCAGACAGCATCGGCACGGAGCAGCCACCACCGATGACGGTGGCACTCTTACCTTGGGGTTCTCCAGGATGCCGGCCTCGTAGCTGTGGGGGAGAGGGAGGCGGGTCAGTTGGGCGGGGGCACGGAGGTGTCACCCCACCGCGGGCCCACAAGTCCTGTCCGCCCTTGGCTCTCTGCCGAAGCACCTGCTGCCAGCCGCACCTGGAGCTCCTGGGCTCTCCCCGGGGGCTGTGTGCGCGGGGGCTGCAGCGAGGGAAGGGCTGGGACGTATCCCTCCCTGTTCTGGGGCTCAGCTTGTTGGGGGGGCCTCTGCCGCCGGGCACCTTCACACGCTGCTCCTTCGGCCTTCAACTCTTCCCTGCACCCCAGTTTTCACTGCCACTTTCCCAGAGAAGCCAAGCTGCTGGGGGACCTGGAGTGGGGCGCGGGCGGGCGCGTGTTCTCACCTGATGTGCATGAGGTTCTCGTCCATGCTCCACGGGCTCTTAGGGGTGACTGGGACGGGGATTCCGTGTTGCTGTGGGCAAAAGAACAGGGGCAGGCTGGAGGCACCGGGCGCAGAGGCAACGGTCAGGCTCGGAGCCCTGATCTCCCCACGGCGGCAGACAGCCCCAGACTCCGGCCCCTGCACGCGGAGATCCAGGCCACCTCCCTCCCATCCTGGCTGCCCAGGGGTGGGGGCCCACTGCGAGGTGCGCCCACCAACCAACAGGCCCTGCAAGACCCTCGCCTGAGGCCGGGGAGCGGTGGGGGCGGCTTTGGAGCCCCTTCCGGAAGGTTCTGAGTCGTCCATCTCCAAGGGAGCCTGAGGCCTTAGTGCCAGGCACTGTGCCAGGATCCCCCAGCCCAGCTCGATGGTCCCCATATGGCCCCTGAGCTGGGGGTAGAGGGGCCCAGACCCCTGGCTCGGGTCACGAATGTTCCAACCCATCACTGAGGTGCCCGAGGCCCACCCTGCTCAGCCGCTGGCAGAAGACAGCTGGTGCCTTCGCGATCGATGCTGCTCCCAGGGACAGCGCGTGGGACCCAGCAGAGGGCTCCCCTCTCCTCCAGCTGAGCCCCGAGCCAGCACGCAAGACGCGGCTGGGCAGGCAGCCCTTGAGCCAGTGAGACCCAGGAGCCTGTGTGGACGGTGCCCAGGCTGGGGCCAGCTCTGCAGATGCCGCCGCTCAGCCCCGGCTCTGTACCTGTGACGGCCCCTCTAGAACCCTCCTCCAGGAGGAGGTTGCACTCCCTTCACACTGCTGTAACTGCAAACGAGGTTTAAAAACCAGAGGATAAACGCCCTGTGTTTCTAGCTTTACCAGTAGACTTGCTTTAAAAACAAAACAAAGCAAGCCCATGTAGTGGTGCATGCCTGTAATCCAGCACTCCTGGAGGCTGAGGTAGGAGGATCACAAATTGAAGCCTGACTTGAGCAACTTATTGACTTAGCAAGACCCTCTCTCAAAATAGAAAATAAAAAAGGGCCGAGTATGTAGCTCAGTAGGAAGGTCAGAGGTTCAGCCCCCAGTGCTGCTGACCCTTGCAAAAAAATCGCAAAATAAACACCCCTCCCTCTACCCTAGAGTTTGTGTGCGCCTTGATGTAAACTACACAAGCCAATGAGAGCATGCCATTCCCAGGCTGTCTGAGGCTGGGGACACATGTCCAGCGCTGCAGTAGTCGGCTGGGGGCTCACAAAGCCTCGGGCCGAGCTTCCCGGAGGCTCTGTTTCGGGGCGGTGTGGAGACCCGCTTTCCCCGTGGGCTGCAATGCAGGAGCTGAGGAAGGGAAAGGAAGGAAGGGAAGACCGAGGCAGGCGCCCCGACTGGGCAGAGGCAGACGCCGGCCGTCATAGCTGCAGGACCCAGGGGTGCCCCTCTGCCCGGCCACCCCCTAGTCTCCCGCGGTAATGGGGTGGAAAACAAAGCCACCTTCCACTGGGGCCAGGAGTCCAGCCGCCCAGTGCCCACCTCGAGCTCTGCCTCTCAGTGCTTTTTGATACATTATGACAACGAGCGCGGGCAGCCCTGGGCGTTCCTGCCTCGCGCAGGGCCTGGGGCGGGACGGCAGCGCGTCACATGTACGCGTCTGCGAGGCTCCCTGAGCACCTTCTGGCCTTGAAAGCAGAGTTTCAAAGCCACATTGATTTTTTGGTCTCCTCCGTTTCAGCTCCTGCCTGGCTCTGAATTTTGGACGAAGCTCCCTGTCTGCTCAGGGACTCCGGCCACTTCCTGGGTGGCTCCGCCTCAGCTTCTCGAATGAGCTCCCACTTCCCAAGCTCGATTCCGAAACCCGGCTCCAGGGACGGTGGGAGACCAAGGGGGCCGCACGCACCTCTCCCCGGAGAAACCTTTTCTTGCTGAAAAGGACAGCGGCTAAGCCCCACACCTTCTCCCTAAATCCAGGGGAGGGACCAAGACACTTCCGAAATTCGTCTCCGCCAGAAAAACCACCCTCCTTCCCGGGGGGTGCAGGTGATCAGCCCTGTCCGACCTGGCTGGAGCGAGTATAGCAGGGCGTGGGCTTGCGCCTCATTATTCCTAAAGACGAGACCTGCTTCAGCGTCTACGGCTCCAAGGAGACAGGGAGGAAAACACCGCCTCGCCAGCCTCCGCTGCCTTAATAGCGCTGCTATTTGACGATTTGTTTGGCAACATATGGGTTTGCTCTTGTAAACTCCCCTCTTAATAATAAAACAACAGATGGCGGAGGAGGGCTTTCCTCCCAGCGCCCCCGGTCCTAATGGGATGCTGGCGGCTGGGGCAGGGCCGGGTTCCCGCCGTGTCCCCTGCCATGCTGCACCTTGGCGGCCGCCAGCAGCCAGCCCCGGTGACTGCTATTTAAAAACCTGAACAATTTCCTGGTGTGTGCATCGACTTGCTTTCCCTGCCTGATTGATTGAGGCTGTTTGTCAAGGGCTGCCATGGAGTCGCTAGAAAGAAAGGTACCCCGGGGAGCCGCTAAGGATCTCGACGCAGAACTTCTAATATGTTTTATCGCAACTTGTACTTCAAAAGGGCTAAAGCCGCACAAGAGGCTTTGTTTGCCATTCGAGTGTCTACCTGACCCTGAGAAACGGCCCGGGACAATTAGCAGCCGGGGCACCGATGCGCAAAGATCAGCTCCTTGCTCAGGAAATGGACGTGGTGGGGACCACACCTCCACGTGGCCAGCCGGGGTGGGGGACAGGTGCCGCTGGACAGTAGGCGGCTGAGCCAGAGATTCGACCGCCCACGGCACAAAGGCCATCCCGGTCCCATGTCACCAGCCCGGACAGCTCCTGAGCAGGGCTGGACCAAGAGGGCAGCGGCAGGGAAAGCCCCGGGCAACGTGGGGTCCCCTTCTTACCTTTGCGTAGTCCATGAGGTCACTGCGGCCCCTGAAGCGGTTGTAGAACTCAGGCATCCGCCACGGAGCGATGACCTGGACAGAGAGAGGGGGCTAGCACCGGGTACCGAGCCGCCAGCCTCTCCTGGCCCTTAAGGGGCACGGCTGGCTCCCTCGGGCGGCGGGGAGCTCACAGTCCCGGTGACCACCTGGGGGGGTCTCTTGCTGGGGCACCAAGAGGATGCAGCCACGGGAGGGTCCAGTACACATGGGCTGGCCTGAGCTCCGCAGCAGAATGGCGTGTGCCCTCTGGGGCTCGGTCTCCCCAGCTGAGACCTCAGGGTCTGAACTGGGCACAAAGACCTTTGGTGGACTTCGAGGTCCTAGGGGTGACTTATGCCCCCAAGCTTTGCACCCGAGCGGGGAGGAAGGGAGTCTAAGCTGACAGAGGGGAGCCCCTCGAGCCACAGGGGTAAGGGTGGGGACCCTAAGAGATCGGTGCCCCCGTTCACCCCCGGGGCTCACCAGGCCTCTGCCTCTGACCGCAGCGACAGGGGCGTACAGTGGGGGCACCAGATGGACGAAAGGGTGGCTTCGTGTCCAGGCTGGGGAGCCGGGTGCAGTGCCCCCAGCCTCGAATGAGCAACCCTGGACCAGGTTCACTCGGGGAGGGGGACACACCCCAAGTCCCTGTCCCTGCTCCCAGAGACCAGCTTGGGCCCCTGGCGCAGCCCACAGCAGCCCCTGAGCTCGGCCTTTGCAGACAAAGACCAGAAACCGGACGCCCCGCCCTTCCAGCCACCGTGGGAACCTGAGACACGGGGACGTGAGTGTCAGGCTGGGGCCGGGACAGCCTGAGTCAGCAGCAGCCCTGTCCGAGGCCTCTCGGCGGCCCGGCACGCGGGGTCAGAGTGGATCATTAGAGCTCATGACCACAGGCCACGCTCGGCCCTAGACAACTGCTGGCTGGCAGAGGGACAGAGACGGCGCCGAGGGAAGACGGACACTTTGGAGCCCTGCGGGTCCAGGGGCACGCGCCCCGTAGAGCTGCGGCCAAAGTGGCTGCAGAGGAGCTCGGGTCAAGGCCGCTGCCGCCCCCAGTGCTCACCGAGCCCCGCAAGGCAGCCTCACCCCCGCCAGGGCCAGGACAAACCCAAGGATGCTGAGCGCCCACGAGGGGCTGTGCACATCGACTCCAATTGGACGCTAACATTTTGGACACTTGGGGCTCAATAAAATGTTACAAACGTGATCCACCTGCTTCTTTTCATTCAGCGTCTTAAATGCGGCGGCTAGAAAAAATCAGACTGGCCCGCAGGGCTGGTGTATCCTCTGCACACTTGCAGCCCAGCCCAAGGCCACGGTCAGGCTGCAGGGGCAGGGGCAGGGGCAGGGGGAGCAGCGTGGACAGTGCCCACGAGCCCCGGCACCTGGGTGACCGGCCGCGGGCAGGAGCGGGTGAATCCTTGACATCCTGAGGAGTCGCATCCCAGGACAGGGTCAGCCACAGGCGGCCAGGGAGGAGCCAGGCCGCAGCTCCAGGGGCTGGGGGCAGGGGCGCACCCGAGCCCAGACATCGGGGACCACACTGCCGAGCTGTCGCGGCCTGCACCCCAGGACATCAAGGGCGACGGGCGAAGGGCCACTAGGCACCCGAGAACAGAGGGCCAGGGAGAGCCTGGGGACCCCACAGAGCACCTGCCCCAGGCTCCCAACGGGGCGACAGGTTCCCCAACATGGAGAGGACTCCCGGGCCCCCAGTGCCCACCGGGGAGGGCAGAGGCAAGTCTCACCTTAATCTGGGGGGCCAGCGAGTAGCAAGTGAGCTCGAACCGGACCTGGTCGTTCCCCTGAAACACAGGACACAGGACTATCAGGAGGGTTTGGGGACAGGCAAGGGGGGGGGGCAGCACCAGAGGGTGGACGCTCACGCACGCACCTCCAGCCCCGCACGGTGGGCAGAGGCTGAGGAGCCAACAGCTTCCTGCAGCGGGAATCGAACCCAGGGCCTCAAGTCTGGCTCCGAGCTCTGTGGCCCCGGGAGTGCGGGAAGCCACGCCCACGTGCCCGGTGTCTACACCAAGTCGCTCGGGTGACTTCTCCCATTGGCGCGCGTTTGTGAGATGTAATGAATGCGTTCAGTTTGGGGAGCCAACGCGCAGACGCGGCGTCTTAGTCCAATCCGCTCCTCCCTCCCTCCCTCCCGCCCCCGCCGGGTCCCCGCCCACTCGCAAAAGCTCTGTCTCCTTGCTTCCTCTGACGTTTATTTTGTCCTTATTTGTACTTTGGGCTTCTCTTCTAAGAGAAACCAGGTGATATGTGCGCTGGTTTAGTTCACCTAACACTCTGGCTTCAAGGCACATCCGTTCTCCTGCAGTGCCTCAGCCTTATCTTTCTTTATGGCAGCGTAGCACTCCGCCGCGTGTAAGTACATTTTCTCCAACCAGTCATCTGCCGAAGGGCACAGAGGCGGTGTCCGGGATTCAGCCGTGAAGCCCTGGTGCGCGGGGCTTGTGTGTGCACCACGAGGGGGTGTGCGGGTGGCAGGGAGGGAGCACACACCCGTCATGGTGCAGGCCTACCCGCTGCAGACACCCACTGGAGAAGGGGACACGGAGGATGCAGGAGCGCGGAGCGGGGTCGCTGTGTGTGGGCGCGGGCAGGCTCATGGTGATCCCACGGCATTCACACACGCTGACATGTATGTGCACAGCTCTGGGGGCGCACGCAGGACCCCGCAGGGGTCGTCCAAGGCCAGGAGCTGGGGCCTCCCGGTGCTGCCCACCCCAAGCCTCTTCCTGCATGAAGCCTCCTCCCACCTGACCCCACAATGCTAGAGGTCAGGGCCCGGGCACCGCGGCGCTCAGCTGCTCTGCACCCACGCGCTAGACGCCTGTCAGCCGTAAGCCTGTTTCCCCGCTGGGGGTAGAGATGGAAACAGAAGGCCTTTTGCTTCTCAGCTCCTCTCCGCACAGAGGGGAAACTGAGGCTGGGGGCTCTCGAAGGCCGCCAGCACCCACTCCCTCTGCCACTGAGCAGGGTCCCCGTGACGCCCTCGGTCCACACCGGGCACAGGGGCCGGGAGCCCGTGCCGCCGCCGGCCCGTGGAGCGGGGAAATGACAGAGGGCCCCTCGCCTGCTGTGAAAACCGCCTGGCGCAGCGAGGAGGCACAGGAGCAACGTGTCATTTTCCAGAGTCTGCCAGGCGACGCGGAAACGGCCTCAGCCCTCCCAGCAGCTCCAGGGCGCTGGGCGGAGCAGCGGCTGCTCCCTCCCGACAGTCCCCGTCACCCCCCCCCTCCCCCGTCACCTCCACTCCATCCCTGGGGCGCGCACCTGCTATGTGCTGTCACCTAGATGGCCACCCAGGGCTAACTTTGCTTCGGATGAGGACAGCGAAGCTCAGAGAGGTGAAGCCAGTTGCCCAGGGTCACACAGCGCACACGCCCACCCTAGGCTCCCAGCGGGATGAGCCCCTTGCCTCTGACCGGCGGCCCGCTGGTGTCTAGTAGCACGTGGGTCCCCTCTGGCTCGAGGGCTCTGCCAGCCCAGCTCGGGAGCAGAGGTGGCCGTCGTGCAAAGGGGGCCCCTTTCGGATCGGGAAGGTCATGCTTCAGGGTTACGCGGCCGGCTCTTTTCCCTGGGGCCTCCTGTTTCCCCGTAAAAAGCAGCTTGTGCGTCCCCGGCGGGCCAGCTGGGCTAGTATCTGGGACCCTGATGTGGCCAGGGGACGCCCATCTGTTCCAGGGAGTCTCGAAGGAGCCCAGCGAGGGGCTGCCGCGGATCCAAGTCTGTCCCCTCCTAGCCCCGGCCCCGGCTCCAGGGTGGGCCTGGCTCCAGGGTGGCCCCGGCTCCAGGGTGGGCCCGGCTCCAGGGCGGCCCCTGCAGCTTCCTGGGAGGGAGCGCAGCGCATCTCACACACGTATGTCCGCGTGCGTGTGACACAGGGCAGTGCCCACAGGGACGGCGGGCCGGGTGCCCATCTGCCCTGGGACGGCCCTGCAGATGGTGCCATTTACACACCGCTGCCCGCGCCCCCGCGGCTCAGGCTCAGGTTTCTAGACAGCAGGGGAGGGGACCCCGGCTCCAGGGAGGCTGTCTGGGTGGGGGTACGGCTGGCAGCAGGGCTGCTTCTCACCGAGCTGCCCCGCCCCGTCTGGTGCCTTCCGGCTGAGCCGCACCAGCTAAGTCTTGCTCTGCCCCTGCCGGGCGCCACCTATGGAGAGGTGAGGACGGCCTCCGGCCCCTGCAGTCGTGCAGCCCCAGCCCCGCCCAGGTGCTGGCTGGATCTGCGCCTCCCGCGGAGCCACGGGGCCTCACCCTCACCGGCCCATACCTGGCGTCACCAGTGTCCTGCCCCAAGCCTCCCCTCTCGCACCCCAAGTCTCAAAAATCATCTCCAAGCACGGTCAGGGGCTTCCCAGGTATTGCACGTGAGGGGAGACTGAGTCACGGAAGCCAAGGTCTCCTTAGGAGCTCGGGCCGCGCTGGCCACCGAGACCTCCTCAAACCGCGGCCTCTGGCGCCCTCTGGCGGCCATTGGAGGAGCGCGCACACCGCTGCGGGAGGCCGCTGGGGAGGCGGGGCTCGCGAGGTCCCCGCATGGGCCGCGGACGCCCCACGCACAGCCACTGCTCTGCCGGCTGCACCCTGCGGGGTTCCCGGGGGCCCTGTTCTGGGGAGCATCCCTCCCGAGTCCTGATCCGGGGCGCGCAGCCAGGACGTGCACTGCCGGGCCCGCTGCACTGAGATGCGGGATGGGCGTTTTCTGCTCGGTGGCTTGGTGGGGCTGCTTCCTGCAGACCCGTCCCTGCGAGCCGGCCCGGGCGGCGGCCTTTGGAATCATCCTCCCCACCGCTCCCAGGAGCCCGCCCGCTGAGCCAGGGTCTATTTTCATCCGCACTGTGCAGGAAGTAGAAGCTGGCGGGGGGTAAGGACCCTGCGGAGCTAGGCTCTGAACCCCACGTCCCAGCCTCGGGGTGTCTCTCCTGCGCCCTCTGCTGCCCGCCGGCGGGACTGCCACCTCCCGGCACCCTGCGCGGTCTCAGCTCCGGGCAGTTCCCCAACATTCCCAACGTTCCCGGGGGAGCCGCTGGCCACGCCCATGACTCCGGGACCCCCACACCCTTGAATCAATCGCCCTCCTGATGTGTCCCTCGGCCTGGTTTGGTCTGACCTTGACCTTACTGCATTTCCCACAGCTGCGTCTAGGTCTGCAGCCGGGCTGTTGCGCCCAGCCTGGCCAATGGTCCCTGCGCCCTTCACCCACTCCCTTACCCCTCCTCAGCCCCTGCCCCCAGTGGGCGGGCCCAGGGCAGGTGAGGTAGTCACCCGGGAGGTTCAGAGCCCGCACGCTGCAATCCAGTTAAGCAGCGTGGTGCTCGCTAACTCTGAGGGCTCACAACCGTTGGCACTGTTAAGATTGGCTGGTCTGGGGCACTGCAGTGTAGGTTGACATGCTCAGGACTCCTGCCTCCCTGCGGGGTTCACTCAGGCAGAGGAAGGGGGTGTGTTACTGGATGAACTGTGTTCCCTTAAAAAGATGGGCTCAAAGGCCTGGCATGGTGATCTGCACCTATAACCTCAGCACTCAGGAGGCTGAGGCAGGAGGATTGCCTGAAGTGTGAAGCCAGGACCACATGGTGAGATCCTAACTCAAAAACAAAACAAAACAAAACAAAAAGGACAGGGGTAGTCCCAATCCCCAGGACCTCAGGATATACCCTGACTTGGTCTTTACAGGGGTCAAGTTAAGATGAGGGCATCAGGGTGGACCCTACCCATCCAGTGTGATGGGTATCCTTACATGTAACCAGGACAAATGTGTCTAGGGACACACACACACACACACACACACACACACACACAGAGGGATGGCGCCATGTGGGTAAAGATGGGGGGGCAGGGATGCATCCAGAAGCCCAGGAACCCAGGTAGGGCCATATCCCATTTTGCAAATGAAGAGACTAAGGCTCAGAAAACGGACAGCAAGGTGGAGACTAGAACTTGCTACCCTCCTGCTTCAGCCTCCTCAGTAGCCAGGAACTTCGCTGGAATCTTAACACCACCAAGCTGTCCTGGAGCTCAGCTCCCTCAGCACCTGCCTGTGCCGTTCTCTGGACAGCCGCACGGCCTCCCCCTCCCTTGGCCCAGCCCTCAGTGGCCCGCCCACCCCCTACTCACCTTCCCTGTGGCACCGTGAGACACATACTGGGCTCCTTCTCGCCGGGCAATCTCCACTTGCTTGCGGGCGATGCAGGGCCTGGCGAGGGAGGTTCCCAGGAGGTAGCGGTCCTCGTACAGTGCACTGGACTGAATGGCAGGCCAGATGAACTCCTCCACAAACTCCCTGCTCACGTCCTCGATGAACACCTGGGAGACAGGGGCCATGAGCGGGGCCTTGGCAGGGGGAGGGCTGACTGGAGTGCAGAGCTGAGGGAGCTGCACCCCTGCTTCTCTCTGCAGTGGTACCAGACATCACTAACCAATTCCTGCAAATCACACCTTTACTCTCCTTGCTGCACCCATGGCAGACATTGCTAATCAATCCGGAGCTATCATCCTACTGAACCAGGCAGCTCATGAATCCCCACAAAATGAAACTCGGGCACCACCTAAGACCTACAGCAGTAGTTCTCAGTTAGGGGTGGTTTTGTTTCCCAGAGGCATGTGGCAATATCTGGACATGATTTTGACACGGTTGCCAGGTTCAGAGAGGAGGGAGGGCTTGTGCTATCTGGTGGGTAAAGGCCAGCTATGCATAAACAGTGCCAAGGATGAGACCACAGGGTCACGAGGAGCTGCTCTCAAAACGCAGACCCCCTTCAGGGCAAGTGAGTGCCAACACTTTCTACAGCGATACTAAGATGTGATGATGGCTCTTCTCACTCACTGGGACGTGCACGGCACAACGGCAAACGTGGAGCTGGGTGCAGTGGTGCACGCCTGTAATCCCAGCGCTCTGGGAGGCTGAGGCAGGAGGATCAGAAGTGTGAGTCTAGTCTGGGTGACTTAGCAGGACCTTATCTTAAAATTTAAAAACTGAAAAAGGACTGGGCATGTAGCTTAGTGCCAAGGCCTGGATTCAGTCCCCATACTGGAAAGAAAAGAAAGGGAAGGCGATGCCCGGTGACTTCGATTGTTAGATGCAGGACAATAAACACAAAACACTGCGGCGAACAAAGGGAGAGCCGCTTGGCCAGTGACCAGGTCAGGCCGACCTCCACCGTGCACTGCCTCCCTGGCGCTCAGCGCTTCCTCTCCCTGCTCCTGTTTGGACGGCTCCTCCTGCTCCTGCGGACCCGGGCACCATCAGACGGGGACACACTCGAGCTCCTGGTGCGGCCTCCACGTGACCTGGGAGTATGGCTTCGGTGGCCCGTGCATTCCCTGGTCCTCGTGCCCTCGCTCTGGCCAGGAGTGGTTTAGGTCCTGGCAGCCCCACAGAAGGGCCCTGCAGAGGGGCCCAGTGCCGCCGGGCAGGTGGGCTGGTGGGGTGCTCCACATCCCCACTGGTCCCCGCTCACTCCCCGGGGAAGGGGCACGAGTATCAGGGTGCTCGCCACAGGGAGCAGCTCCTGCTGGCACCATGAGCCACGGCACGAGGTGCTGCATGGGCCCCATCTGCCATATTGGCTCCGCACCCAGCGCGGGGTCCGCACACCACTGAACTCAACACACGCAGAACGCGTGGGACTCGGCTGCAGCCTCCTGGCCTGCACGATGGGTGAAAGGCTGAGTGGATGGACGGGCAGATAAAGGGAGTGGGCAGGTGGGTGGGTGCACGGCGGATGGGTAGATGGGAGGGCGGCTGGGACAATAGAGATACAAGGGGATGGACAGGAAGATGGGTAATGGATGCGTATAGGTAGGCAAATGGATGATGCCTAGACGGACAGATGGACAGCCGATGGGTGGATGGACGGACGGACGGAAGGATGAGGAGAGAACAAAGAGATAAACGGGAATGAACAGGTAGAGGAGCAATGACGGACGGCTGGTACGTGGACGATGGATGGTGGGTGTGGATGGAGGGAGGAGGAGGAGACACAGAGGACGTCTGGGTGGGGCGATGGCTGGACGCCCGGGAAGCGCTGACAGGACGTGGGTGCGCTGGGGGCAGTGTCGGGGGAGGCAGGAAGACAGCGGGGTTTGCTTCTCAGGCAGGGCTTGCCCGGGTCCTGGCACACTGGCACGACTGCAGGGGACAGTACTCCGGGACGGGGTGCCCACCACGGCTGGGCAGGCACGGCCCCCTCCTACCCGCCTGCCCTCCCTGGTACCTTTTTGGCCCCCAGCTTCAGCGCCTTCTTCCTGGCTTCCTCAAAGTCTTCCTTCTGGCCGATGTTGGCCTGGGGAGTGGAGGTGGAGGGGCTGGTGAGCCCAGGGACAGAGAGGGGAGCGGGAGCGACCGCAAGGCCAGCCCACTTCACGGCCACGGTCAGGGTAGGAAGGAGAGGGCACAGAGCAGGTGGGGCACTGTGGGTAGCACAGGAGCTCGCTCATGGAGTGGGATGCCAGGTGCTGGGCTGGCACCCAGGCTGCCGGGACCCAGCTCTCTGCGGCCAGCTTCCTTGCCTCATCTGTGGCTGCCAGCATGCCCGCCCTGAGCTGGTGCCAAGGCCACGCTGCAGGAAGTGCCCGGCCAGGCATGCTTCCCAGACAGGAAGTGCCCTGCCCGCCTGACCATCCGAGTGGGCAGCCCTGCGCCTGCCGCCTGGGCCCTGACCTCCGCTTCCTGGTGCCCCTGTCCAGACGCTGCCGGCTCTGGGCTGCTGCCAGGTCTGGGCTGAGCCCTGGGTCCCTGCATGCTGATCTCAGCGGAGCCCGGCTGCAGGAGTGGCCCAAGGTCACAGGTAGCCTCTCCCCCTGTGGGGGCCCAGGGTACACGGGGCCAGGCTGTCCCGGCGAGGGGACCACCTGGGCTCCTGGCTTCTACCCAGCACTGCAGCTGTCATTTGCCCAGTGGGCAAAGTACTTCCCTTCCCGGGCCTCAGTTTCCCCCACCCGAACACCAAAGGGACTGACACAGAGCACAGGGGCTGCAGCTGATGCCTGCCTGTCCAGAGTGCCATCCTCTCCTCCCCCAGAAACAGAGCTGTCCTGCAAGGGCCCCTTCCACGGGACAGAGGGGAGAGGCCTGTGACCCAAGACTAATCCCCACAAGAGAGCACCCTTAGGCCTAGCATCAGTCTGGGGAGACTGAGCTTCGAGGGCAGCCGTTGGCAGCCCCCATGTGCCCTGAGGCATGACTGTGAAAGTTAGTAAGGCTGGAGACAGCAGCCTTGCCTGCAGCCATTCTCCAGCCGGGCTTCTCAGTTTGGGGTGCTCGTGCACCCGCAGTTGTCCCAAATGCAGAACGGCGTGGAGAAGGACTCAGAGTCCCTGTCCAGGACCATCAGAAGAGGACTGGTTTGGTCAGGGTCGACTGCTGGGGACCTGGATACGGGGGTTGCACATGACCATTTACCTGTGCCCGGGGACCCAGGCCCCTTCAGCCCCCCGACTCTATCGCTCTTACTTAGCTGCTAGAGGCTGCTCGGGGCCCGGGGAGGGGAGAACGGGCGTGCGTCCAAGGCCAGGGCCCCTCTCCACCTCTCCCGCCTGGGGTCCTCCTCAGGGAGCGCCCTGGACGTTGCCAAGGACGTGCATTTTATGGAAGAAGAAAGCGAGTGGTCGAGAGGGAGGCAAGCACAGTGGCGGGGTGCGGGGTTCGGCGGGACAGACAAGGCAGCGGGACACACAGACACAGGCGGCTCCTTACCAGGTAGGCAATGACGTCGTAACCCTGCTCCTTCAGCCACACGAGGATGCACGAGGTGTCCAGGCCGCCGCTGTAGGCCAGAACCACGGAGCCCTTGCCGGACATGGCGTCTGCAGAGCGGAGGGGAAGCTGTGGGCTCAGCGGCCCAGGGGAGGGATGGATCCCGCTGCAGGCACAGCCCCCACAAGCTGCTCCGGACGAGGGCACAGGGAGTTCACTGTCCTGCATCCACGCCTCCCCAGGGACCCTGACCCTGCACAACCCCGGGCCCAAGAATGCTGACGCTGGAGCCCGTGCCCACCCGCTGGAGAGGGCGGGCATCTGGAGCCAGGGAGGGCAGAGGGCGTGGGGGGAGGGCAGGCTCCTTGCCAAGCAATGCTCGACTCGTGTGGGTCACCCTGAATCCCTGCTGGGACCCCACATCGTAGGCACTGTTACCCCCACCGGGGAGGACAGACGATGGAGCCGAGAGAGGCCTCCGGTCAAGGTCACAGAACTCACAGCTCAAGGTCACACGGCAAACGTCTGGGAGCCTAGGCTGTTACCCAGCATGCAGTGCTGCGCCTGACCTGCCGGAAGCTGGCGTGGGGTGGGGTATGCGCCTGGCCCGGGTGGCCCCCCCACCTGAGCACCCAGCTTTCACCCCCAGATCTCAGGCCTGGGGCCGGGGTTCCGGTGCAGGTACAGTCACACCTGGCGCCCAGCAGCGCGTTCCAGGGTGTGGGATGCGAGCCCAAGCTCACCGCTGCCAAGTGGATTTTCCCGGAAGAACTGATGTAATTAGACACAATTGGTGAAGCTCCCCGGAACTTTAACATTTTGCTGGACTAATTAGAGCCTCTTAGGCTCACTGGTGTCGCTCGACCCTTTATGCGACCCACATGGAGCCCATAAAATGCACAAAAGCACAGGACCGTGACCAGGAACACGGGGGGCCCCTGCAAGACCCCCACCGGCCCCGCAAGTCCTCCAGTGCCAGCAGCAAGGCCTGCTGCGCGGCCCGTGGCCTCTGGAGCCGAACTCCTGAGCCTGGCACGTGCCTCAGGCTCAGCCAGCGGGCAGCTCTGGTCTCACAGGGCCTGCTGCCCCTTGGACCTCACGGGACAGTGCGCCCGGGCCCTCCCCTCCCCGGGGCCTGAGACCACTCCCAGATGGAGTCCCTGGTCAGCTGCAGGCTCTGACCCTGGAGCCAGCAGATGGTGCCCATGGCAACTGTAGCCAGGCAACAGGTGCAGAAGCTGGAGGCAGGAGGGCAGCGAGGCAAGAAGGGTGCAGGTGGGAAGTACCTGGGGTTGGAGGTGCGGCTTCCAGGTGTCACGGTCCGTTCTCCCCAAGAGGGAAGCACTCTGCGAAAGCAACAGTGGCTTAGCTGCTTGGCACGGCAGCCCGGGTGCCACCAGGGGCCCTGGTCCTGCCTGTGCTGGGGGCAGCCTGGCAGGGCAGGCAGGCACCGTGGGGAGGCCCTTCCAGGAAGGGTGTGCCTGCCCTCCCCTGCAGGTGCACGAGGGGCTGGCAGGGCCGCACGGACAGCCAGTCCCGTTGCATTTGTTAAGACAGTGCTATCAGCTATAACTGACACAGTACACTGCAAGTCTGGCCATGCGGACACAGCCTGAAGCTCTCACCACACCCTGATGACAACCATAGCCATCCAACACAAGCTCAGCCCTCCCCCCCGACAGCACTCCCATTTTAAAGACAGGAAAACTGAGGCCCTGGTTAAGGAGCGTGCTCCAGACCCGGCTGGCCTAGTAAGTGGTAGAGCCAGGACTGCGACCCACATCAGCTAGGCTCCGCTCCGGGAGGCCCAGGAAGGGACAAGATGGGTAAGGTGCGTCAGAGAGTCTCTCAGTTCAGAGTGGGTGGGCTGGGGGTGGCGGGGCTGGAGATGATGCAGCCCCAGAAACCCCTGTCCTGCCCCTCACAAAAGCATGTGGAGCCAAGCAGGGGCACAGGAGTGGGGAGGGGACACTCCACGGGGACAGGCTGGCCGCTGCCCTGCCTGGCCCCAGCAAGTCTCCCTCCTCTCCTCCCGGCCAACCCCCCTCCGCCAGCCATGAGCTCCATGGGACGGGGCCACCTCCCCGGGGCATGTGGCATGCACTGCGGACCTCGGGGCTGCTCTGCTCCCTGGAGATGGGCTCCTCTCTGCAAAACGAGAGGGCTGAGACCCCTAGAAACGCGGGTCTCCATGCAAGCTCTCAGTGGGAGCCGGGCGGCAAGTGCAGACGCGGGCTCCGAGGGAGGTGTGCACCTGCGAGCGCCCGTGTGCCTGCTGTGTGTGTGCAGCACGCACCTGAAAGTGTGTGCCCCGGGCGCCCGCGCCGGGCGTGTGCACGTGAGGCAGTGCATGCACATGTTTGTGGCATGCCGGGCTTGCACATATATGTTCCTCTGCACGCACATGCGTGAGTCCCGTTTGGGCCCGCGTGTGCACGTGGAGACCCGGTGGCCAAACAGGCTGGATACATGATGCAAAGGGACAACACACCAAGGTCACGCTGCTATCTCCCTGCTCCCAGCAGCCTCCTCCCTCAGCCTCAGGGGCCCGGGCTTGAAGACCAGGTTGAGGCCTGGGGCAGAATCTCAGTGGAGCTGAGGCCCCACTGGGGAGGGACGGCATTCCTTCTGCAGGCAGAGACTGTGGCTGCACCCTCTGAACATGGGTTCAAGTCTCTGCAGCTCTCCAAGCATGGCTGCCCACCTGCAAACCGGGCGTGAGGGACACCCGACCACCCCAGGGCAGCGGCAAGGGCTCAGGGAGGTTCCAGGGAGGAGCTGAGGGCCGGGCACCAGGCGGGGCCCCACAGAACATGGTTCCATGCTGACCGTGCGCACGCCCTCGCTGTCCCGGCCTCTTTCCCCAGACGCACAACTTGAAAGCCATTCAGACGCCCCAGGAGGCAGCTAGCAGATCCTGCTGTCCTCAGGCCCCCGCACTCCAAGAAGGGCCCAGGGCAGGTTTTTCCGGCTCCCAGATACATGCCACTGCCCCCTGCTCCCAAGGCCAGCGCGGCAGCCTCTGCCGGGAGAGAAGCTTGCCTGGGAGGAGGAGGAAGGTGACCTCGTGTCACACCGCTGGGCGGCCTGGCCTCAGCTGGCAAGGCGGGGGGTATTCTCTGTGGCCTCAGCCAGAGGCATCTGGCCAGCGTCCAGGGGACACGGGCCAGGCCAGCCTGCGCACTCCTCAGCACCAAGGAAAGTCCTCGGCTCTAAAATGTCAGCTGGAGTGACAACACACAGAGGCCGCGGTCAGAGCCATGCGAGCGTCATCTCCAGGGCAACTGCCGTGACCACTGTCTCCGGACGAGGAGCCCAGGTTATAGTGGCTTCAAGCCCTGGCTGGCCGCAAGCAGCTTTGCGCTCTGCCCGGTGGCCCCTAAGAGTCCCAGGGTCCTTGCCCCCTTATGCAGCCTCTGCACAGGCTACACCCCAAAGACATCAGCCATCGACCTCCTATTTCTTAGTACACCCCACAGAGCAGCTCGGGACACAGCTGCCTGGGCTGCTCTTTCCAAGCCCTCCCTGACGGCTCACTCAGCTGAGCTTGATTTTTTTGGGGGGGGTCACTGGGAATCGAACTCAGGACCTTGCGCTTGACAGGCAGTCACTTGTGCCGCTGAGCTATATCCCTGGCCCTTGATTTTTTTTTTTCCTAAACCCTGACTCTGCCTGTGCAGGAAAAGCCTCTCCCACTTGGAGGCCCCTCATTCCAGGATCTCGGCTCCTGTTCTGCAGCCTTCACTTGAGTTACAACAGAGCTAGGCTGCAATTCCATTACTGACCAGAAGGTAGCGCACGTTCCTGCTACAGGGCCCGGCCTAAACTCATTTGAAAGATCCCCCTCAATCATTTCTGGCAAGATTGGTCTCTAGTTTCAATGTAAACGCTCCCAAGATAGCAGGGAGGGAGGGAGACAGGGAGAGACGCTCAAGTGTTCTCCTAGGACACTCAAGTGTTCTCCTGGTTACAGGAAAAGAGGGCACACCTGTCTGTTTATTCCACTCACATCACAGCAAGTCTGCTCCCCGGCCGGTCCAGTCTGGCGCGAGACCTGCCCTGCAGAGCAGAGGGAGCCAGGGCTGCAAGAGCCACTCTGCCCAGAGTGTTACTGCAGAACTCGGAGCCCTGGCCCCGGAACTCCCGCCTGGTACCTCTTTCCACGTGGGCGCCCACGGCCCGCTGGGGGCTTGTGTTCAGCACCCGGCGAAAGTGCTGGCGCAGCAGGTGGGCCCGGCAGGACTCCGCCCTGGGGGGGGGGGGTCAGTGACCCCAGAAGCCCAGGGCTGGAGGCAGACGTGGGGCGCTGTGAGTACTCAGGGGTGCAGAGACTGCCCAGAGTGGGGGTCCCCTTGCCCCCCATCCCAAGCCTGGCCTCAGAATAGGTGCTGAGGGGGCAGGGCTCACTGCCCCCTCAGGGGAGCGGGAACGGGTTCTCAGAGTCGCGGCTTCCCCGGGCC